CAACTTCTCAAGGGCAGCGTTCGCGCGCCGACGAATGGTGCCGGCATTGCCTTCCTTTATGTCGCTGTCTAGGACCCGACTCACGTCCAACCCAATGCCTGGCAGTGGCCCTGGGACCGGAGAGGGTGGTGGCGAAGGTGGCAGGTGCTGGTGCTGTTGCTGATGAGGCGCACTTGGAGTGGCGGACTCGGAGGGCTAGCGACGCGTGGGAAGAGCTCGTTTCGAATGAACTCTTCCAGAGACTCGACGCGTTTTTCCGCCCTTTCGGCCCGCTCCTCGACGCGTTTCAGGAGAGCTTCGATTCTTGCCAATGAATCCTCGTTGACATTGGGGTCGGAATTCGTCGATTTCGCTTTCGGGACGGCGGATTTCTTTCGTGATGGGCGCGGTTCTGGGTCGAATTGCAGTGTCGGTTTCAGGGGGCGACCGCGGGCGCTGGTCCTTGTCACGTCGGCCGCGCTTGTTGAATTGGCCACAATGATGCCACAGGCCACATTATCGTTCGTACCGTCATCCTCGTCATCGAGCAACTCGAATTGGTTCGAGTTGCGCTTGGTGCTGTTCTTGCTCTTCCGCGGCATTGTTCTTCTGTTCCTCCCCGCAGTTCGTTGGGCTGGTGAAGGTGAACCGGAATCCAGAAAAGTGGGGCGGGCACGAGTAGTCGTATACGGTACTTGGGGGACTAAAATCCGTCCCGATTCCCGCGCAAGTCTGTGAGCGACGCAGCAAGCCGCGCCGCACGACTGCGTTCGATATCCGTCAAGTTGAGTGAGGCAGCCGCGGAGCTGCTTGATATCAGCAGTACTATGTAGTTTAGATAGAGCTGCCACTGTTTTAAAACTGCAGCTTTTGCATTTATCATTCAGTCATACGTTATGGTCTCGTAATGTTTGTACTCCATAGACTCCATGAAACCGGGCAGATGTGGAGACAATACAACCTGCCTGAGAGCTGTGGAGAGCGCCCGTGGAAGATCCGTCAGGTACTTGGCACTGCCCTGGTACTGGACGGTGCCTAGGCTGCCTACAATCAGTTGAGTTGCATCATTCTCTGTGCTCTTGCGCGGGAATCGGGACGGATTTTAGTCCCCCAAGTATGGTCACAGTAGGGTATACGTAATGACAAATTTTCTTCCAAAATGCGTTTTGAGACAGTCTGGCCTACAGGCGCCCGTACCTTGGGGGGCATCCCGCTCAGTATCCAGCACTTCCACGGGAACCCAAGCGACCCCAGTACCCTGCGACGGTCCCCAGCAACGGCTGCCGGCTAACCGCTGCGGCGCGGCCGGGACGGGTCAAGCGGCCCGCGCAAACAGGGTACAGTAAGATCTCACCGGGCTCTGAGCAGGGTGCTGTTGGATTAGGTTTGGTATGCCAATTTCAGGATATGTGCCCGGGCACAGATTGCAGTTGATCTCCGCGGTCTGTTCCCGCAATGTGAGTGACGCCAGCCCGCTCGCAACCCGGACTCCGGGATCCGGACTCGAGGTACCGACAGACCAGCCGACCCCATGTCCCGAACCAGGCGCATTGATCAGGATCTGGGCACAATGGTGTCGCTCACAATGGATCGCAAGCCACGCCGCTGCCCATGCCCCCGTGCACCTGTAAGCGTTGTTCAGCGCCGACACGGTGTGGAGGATAGCGACGAGGATGCTTAGGACCCGGCGGGGGCCGTATTTTCCAACTTTCCCACCAGGAGTCATGGTCGTGGCCAGGGCTGCAACGCGACTCTAACGACACGTGGCAGGACGTGGTCCTCGCAGGCCAATGGGGTCTGGGACAGGTGCCCCGTGTTTATGGGTGGCCGAGATGCCCGGGACGGCCCGGACGGGTGCGGACCACCAACCGAGCGGGGAATAGATCGAGGACGAACTTTCCCACTCGCAGATTGTGTCTCACCAGGCACGCGCCCTCCACCGCGAACGTGTGGTAGGTAGGTAGGATTTATTTCGCCCGGAGGGAGGTCCCTATGCCTTTTGTGGTAGGATTTATTTCGCCCGGAGGGAGTTCCCTATAAGGCTTTTGTGGTAGTAGTAGGATTTATTTCGCCCGGAGGGAGGTCCCTATAAGGCCTTTACACAGTCTAGAGTACAGTTCCGCACGTTTGTTCCTTGACTCCCCAAGCCCCACAGATCATCTTACGCTGCGCCAACCGTACCACTGTTTTGCTCCATGACAGACCTGCTTGAAGGTCAATTTCTCCAAGTGTTCAGCATCCTATTCCCAGCAACTGAAGCGCGATGTGTCGAAGTTGAAGCGTGGTTGTGTTTGTCATCGATGGTGGTTGGTACGCCGATTGTGTTTTTTCTCATGACGCTGTTCCCTGTTGACGGGCGGGAACCCGGGTGTGCCCTGTTTCACCAGGGGTGCCTCCAGCCGGCTTCGAACCGACCCCTCTGCGACGCAGAGGCTCCAGACGTGTCACCACTACGCCATGGAGGCAAGGCTTTTGTGGTAGTAGTAGTAGTAGGATTTATTTCGCCCGGAGGGAGGTCCCTATAAGGCCTTTACACTGTCTAGAGTACAGTTCAACACGTTTGTTCCTTGACTCCCCAAGCCCCACAGATCATCTTACGCTGCGCCAACCGTACCACTGTTTTCGCTTCATGACAGACCTGCTTGAAGGTCAATTTCTCCAAGTGTTCAGCATCCTATTCCCAGCAACTGAAGCGCGATGTGTCGAAGTTGAAGCGTGGTTGTGTTAGTCATTGATGGTGGTTGGTACGCCGATTGTGTTTTCTCATGACGCTGTTCCCTGTTGACGGGCGGGAACCCGGGTGTGCCCTGTTCGCCCAGGGGTGCCTCCAGCCGGCTTCGAACCGACCCCTCTGCGACGCAGAGGCTCCAGACGTGTCACCACTACGCCATGGAGGCGGCTTTTGTGGTATGGATTTATTTCGCCCGGAGGGAGGTCCCTATAGGGCCTAGACGTTCTGGCTATTGACGGTTCGATACACTGATGCATGACACCCCAAGCCCCACATATCATCTTACGCTGCGCCAACCACTCCACTGTTCGCTCCATGACAGACCTGCTTGAAGGTCAATTTCTCCAAGTGTTCAGCATCCTATTCCCAGCAACTGAAGCGCGATGTGTCGAAGTTGAAGCGTGGTTGTGTTAGTCATTGATGGTGGTTGGTACGCCGATTGTGTTCTCTCATGACGCTGTTCCCTGTTGACGGGCGGGAACCCGGGTGTACCCTGTTCGCTCAGGGGTGCCTCCAGCCGGCTTCGAACCGACCCCTCTGCGACGCAGAGGCTCCAGACGTGTCACCACTACGCCATGGAGGCGGCTTTTGTGGTGTGTGTGTGTTTATTACGCCCGGAGAATGACTCTAATAGGGCCTAGACCTTCTGACTATTGACGCTTCGATACACTGATGCATGACACCCCAAGCCCCACGGATCTGCTTACGCTGCGCCAACCATTCCACTGTTTGCTTCCTGACAGACCTGCTTGAAGGTCAATTTCTCCAAGTGTTCAGCATCCTATTCTCAGCAACTGAAGCGCGATTTGTCGAAGACGAAGCTGGATGTGTTATTGTTGATGGTGGTTGGTACGCCGATTGTACTTGACGAATTCTTCTATCACCGAATTACCGAATGGGTCTTCATTGAACGTGACGTTGTGAACTGATGTTCTCTCATGACGCTGCCCCCTTTGACGAGCGGGGAACCCGGGTGTACCCTGTTTCACCAGGGGTGCCTCCAGCCGGCTTCGAACCGACCCCTCTGCGACGGACGCAGAGGCTCCAGACGTGTCACCACTACACCATGGAGGCGGCTTTTGTGGTGTAAATCCGGCGGGCCACGGGATCCGGCAGATCACCGGTAAATCACTTAGTTGCCGACACTTTTCACTAAGATTACTTAGTGTCCGTACGACGGATAGGAAGGTAGGTAGGAAGATGGGTAAAGAGGTGATCTTAGTAGTTGTATTGCTTAGAGAGTAGCTAGAAAGCTTGCTTAAGAAAAGGATATGTAGTAGACATAAGTCCCTTTATATAGAAAACTCCTCCTGTTGGAATACTAACCTGCTGAGTAACCCGTGCAATCGGGATACCATCACGGTTCATGCACGACTCCCACGTGACACCCTACCCCGCGATCAGGGCACGCAGCCCCGGCTGCATGCCCCCATTACCGGGTGCACATTCCGTTTCTTGTGAATAGCTTCCTTCCCTAGTTAGTTACAATTGAAGTCATCACCGGTTACCCTACCTGTCGTGACTGTGACTCAGCCTACAGCTTGTGCGCATGCGTATCTGTAGGCACATAGGTGCCTACCATCACTGATCAGTGGTTCCAGGTCCCGAAGGAGCCACAGAGCAGCAAGGTAGACGAAGAGTCACCGATCTGATCCGCCTGCAATTCACCGTGCCGTTCGGAGAAAGTGATACTTTCCTCTACGGGTAGAAGAGACAAACTCCGTGATTCGTTCCGCCGAGCAACTCACCGACCGTTCGAAGACGACAAGTTTGTGCTAAGAGCAGGAGACACTCCTTATTCCGATCCGCCTTCAACTCACTGTGCCGTTCGGAAGAAAGAAGCAGAACCTACGGCTAACCTATTGCTATTCCTAACTGCCGTTCCGCCGAGCAACTCACCGACCGTTCGAAGGAAAGGAAAAGACATAGCTTAGCTGCGTCAGCAACGCATTCCGACTCCTCGCGATTGTGCTTTAATCAGTACAATTGATTACTACCATTCACCTCCGACACTATGTCTGCAGGACCTAGCAGCAGTGCCCCGGGAGGCAGTAGTAATACCCCGTCCCTACTATCTATATTGCTCGCGATCCCCAAGCCAGGAGAGAGTGCAAGGATGGCTGGACAAATATACTGGCATACCGATCGACCTGTCAGACATTGACCTATCCTCTGGCATACCCCTGTGAACCCAGAGGAAGAGCCAACGCCACGCCACCTGATCACACAACTCGCCCGTGCGTGGACCGACTATGAGAGAGCCAATGTAGGGAGAATCGACACTCTTATTATGTTCCAAGAGCACTTCGAAGGATGGAATAGTGCACTCTTCGGAAGGATTGAGCCAACGATTCGAGCTGCATTCGTCAACTATCTTCGTACGAAGGAAGTGATCACTGGCCCTTGAGAAGATGCCGACATGACTATCTTCTCGCTTCCTCGTCACCGAAGAATATTGGGAAACCCAGGATACCCCGGTCACCTCCATCGACGAAGGAGCACAACCCGTGCCCGCAGCGATCCCTTTGCCCCTCTCACCACCTATTCAACCGCCTGTACAACCTGTCCAGCAGGCCACTCAATCCGTCACCCCAACCGCTTTTACAAACGCTCCGACGAGCTACACCTTCCTCACCGCACAAGGATAGCTCCCAGGTAACACCAGCTCCCTATTACCTACCCCAATTCAGTGGCGATTCCCCCAAGAGCCAAGTCAGATCCGCCACAATACACCCCATACCGCACATTGCCACCACGAGACGTGCCGAACACCCCGACCAATGCCCAGACTCTCGCCCTCTTCGTCAAGATTTGGAATAAGGAAGATGCCTACTCAGGTCAACCTTACGATCTCCTTGACGATAAGATCAGGAACTTCCTAACCACCTGCCGTTCGGTTGAAGTCCCCGAGAGCCAGCTACACGCCTTTCTCCCCCGCGCCCTTACAGGTCGAGCAAAGACCTACTATGACCTTTATCTTGACCCAGACCTCACGTTCGCCGCCGCTTACCGACAACTTAAGCAACATTTCGATACCAACGTGAATCTGGAGCATTACCATACGGACTGGTCAACTATCACCTTCAACAGTGTCCGTAGCAAGCACAGTGACAAGGACCTCCACGCTGTGCTTGATATAATGCTTGACAAGCTCCAATTGTGTCAACGAGCGATTGGGCCGGAAATAGCTGGCGAAAGCAACCTCCGCAACGCAGTCATCCGCGCTTGCCGTGGAACGCCTGAGCTCAAGCAAGCCTTGTACAAAGCCCCCGCCCATTGCGAACAACTCTTTGCCGACCTCCGCGCCTCTATTGAACTTGCGATCACGGACAACGGTAGCACCCAATGGTATACCGACCGCAAGTATCAACAGAATAGACCCCCCTTCCGCAACAATAACAGCGCGAACCCCAAACGACAGCCGCAGAGAAAGAAGGCGTGCTTCATCTGCGGCAAAGCTGGCTGTTGGTCTACCAAGCATACCATAGAAGAACGGAAACAATCACGGATGTATTTCCTTAATGCCCACAATGCCTCCGACACGACCCCGGACTTCGCCATGTTCCTCGCCGAATTCGAAGGTCATGAACTTGACGAGACCCCTGTCCCTGACTATGATACTGCCAATGAAATTGACGATGAAGACCCAGCGATTGGCTCGCTGTTCTTCACGCAATCATTCCTCGCAGATTACGCTGTTTTACACCGTCTGACTAAGGAAGATGCCTATAGCGCTCCTCAAAAGGCCCCGGCACAACAATTCCTTGTCGATGACCGTTACACAACGCGTTATCAGGGCATCATGCTCGACACAGGTGCTTCCGACGTTTCAACCGCTGGCCTAGACCAATTCCATGCCTGGCAGCGCGAAGACCACTGCGCTACCCTCGATACCACCCGCGCAGGCCAGGCAGGCATCTCCTTTGGAGATGGACCCCGGATTGTGTCTGTCGGTGCGACCGCGATTCGCACGGCATTCGGGCCCGTTGATTTCACGTTCTTCCCACTAAGACCCCGTTCCTCCTCTCCCTAGCCGATATGGACCGGCTAGGCTTGTTTTTCAACAATCAGACCAACGAAGTCGTCCGCGATGACATTCGCGTTCCCGCAGTACGTAAATGGGGCCACGCATGGTTCCATCTAGGTGAAGAAGAGACTGCGAGAGTATTCCTGACCGAACGCGAATTGCGACGACTTCACCGACGATTCGGTCACCCGGCCACAGCTAGACTCCACCGACTGCTTAGATGTGCCGGGCATGATGATATTGATGAGCAGTCAATCCGTGAGATCACGAGGATGTGCCACCACTGTCAAATCAACGGCACCTCCCCAACGCTTCAGGTTTACCCTTAGAGACGACCGCGAGTTCAATTTCGAGATAACCGCGGATGTAGTCCAAATAGGCGGAAAGCCTGTGCTACACGTGATCGACGAAGCCACAGCGTTCCAAGGCGCCAGGTTCCTCCCTCGATGACCGCCCGAGACACCTGGGAAACGCTACGGATGCTGTGGATAGACACCTACCAAGGCCCCCCGGACTTTATGCGCCACGATGCCGGCACTAACTTTGCAGCAGAGGAGTTCCAAAAAGAGGCATCGCTGATGGGTATCACTTGCAGGCAGGTGCCTATCGAAGCCCACAACTCGATTGGAAAGGTAGAAAAGGCACACGGCCCTCCGCCGCGCCTACGATATCCTCCAAGCAGAGTTGGGTGAGTCGAGAAGCCCAGATGCCCTCCTCCAAATGGCTGTAAAGGCAGTCAATGACACAGCCGGCCCGGATGGCCTTGTCCCTACCCTCCTCGTCTTCGGCGCATACCCACGAATCAACCACGATTCACCGCCCTCTCCCCCTATGATCAAGCGCGCAGAGGCTATTCGGAAAGCCATGGCAGCCCTGCACCGTGCTGCCGCTGCCCGTCAGGTTAGAGATGCCCTCAACACGAGGAATGGACCAAATGTAGAGCGCGCTGCAGAGCTTCCTGCAGAGCGAGGTCCTCGTGGAGAGAGGCTGACGGCTGGACCGGCCCGTGGATCGTTATCGGCAATAACGGCCACGAAATAACAATCAATCATGTCAATGGCCCGCAACTTCAGGATCACAGCGGTCAAGAAATACCACCGTGATCCTCAGGCCCTCATCACAACCCCACGACGACTCGCAGCCGTCCCCGACGAGTCGACCCCAATGCACCCCTAACCCCGATCAAGATGATGCCCTGCCCCTGTGCTCCTACCTGAACAACGCCGACGAGGACGCCCCAAAGGCTCCAAGAACAAGCCCAAGACCGGCGTAGCCAACCTGTCAAAGAAGGAAGTTAATCACTATGATCACGCTGTTCAATTGCGCCGCGAAGGCCACATCACCACACCAGGTGCCCCCTTTGAACAGTCCGATACCCAAGAGATTAACAACCTAATCGCACAGGGTGTGTTTGAGTTCATTCGTTTCGACCCCGTGGCCCACAAAGGCCAAAGACTCTTTAAAGCACGCATGGTCCGCGAAGTTAAAGGACTCGGACCAACCACAAGGCCTCCGCCGACCGTGCAACGGCAGCACAGCGGCTACTCCTCTCAATTGCCCCTCCTCGCAGGTGAAGCCTCCGTCTTCCTGCGTGATATCACACAAGCATATATTCAGTCCAAAACCCCCCTGAATCGTACGATACTCGCACGCCTCCCAGCGGAATTAGTGCCCCGCTATCCCCCAGACACCATCATCCATGTCATCCTTCCCCTGTATGGCATAGCAGAGTCAGGTCTCCATTGGTTCGTGACATATTATAGGCATCATCGTGAGCGCCTCGGTATGACACATTCCACCTTTGACCCTGCTTGTTGATCTCCAATGATCAAGCCGCCGGCTTCGGCATGGTCGCTATGCAGACGGATGACACCTCCTCCTCGCCTCCCTGAGTTCGCGGCCGCAGAAGAAAGAGAGATCCAGAAGGCTAAGCTCCGCTCGAAACCAAGGAGCCAGCTATCGGCCGCGACTCCTCGAGTTTAATGGTTGCACACTTCTAGCCGAAAAAGACGACCTTATCATCCAGCAGAAGGGCCAAGGCCAGAAGTTAGCCACCATCTTTCTCTCCTCCACGGATCGCGCGCAGCAATACGCCCAACAGCGCGCGCGCGGAGCATATATCGCATCAATCTGCCAGCCCGAGGCCACGTTCGACTACTCAGTCGCAGCACAAGTGCAGCAGCCGGAAGCCCGGACTACAAGACCCTGAACAAGCGGATACAATGGCAGACCGACAACCTGCAACGAGGACTCCGCTATGTTCCCTTGGCCTTTCGACTGCGAAGCTAATGGTATTCACGGACGGTTCGTTCGCGAACAACAAAGACCTAAGCTCACAACTGGGCTTTGTTATTGTGCTCGCCAACGAGGAACAGAGCCCTGCTGATTTCACGATCAGAGGCAATGTCCTGCACTGGTCATCTACGAAGAGCAAGCGAGTGACCCGGAGCGTGCTAGCCTCGGAGATCTACGGCATGGTCCAAGGTTTCGATATGGCCATTGTCATCGCGACCACCCTGCAGGCTATTGTCAAGCAGCTGGACCTACCCCGACTCCTCATTGTCTGCACCGACTCATACTCGCTATACGAATGCCTCGTAAAGCTCGGGACCACGAAAGAGAAGCGACTCATGATTGATATCATGGCGCTAAGGCAGTCCTACGAGCAGCGCGAGATGGCAGAGATCCGTTGGATCAATGGGGATGACAACCCGGCTGATGCGATGACCAAGCAGCACCCAACCGTGCTTTGGAACGGTTGATTGAGACGAACAGGCTGACGATTCGAGTGGAAGGATATGTACAACGACCCGTGACCGCAGACACCACCTAACGACAAACGACTCCATGATGACGAGCCTCCCTTCATTGAGACCGGAATGAAGGGCAGGCACGGCAGTCTTCGGATTCCATCACGAAAAGAAAAGACTGCCTGTGTTGGAATACTAACCTGCTGAGTAACCCGTGCAATCGGGATACCATCACGGTTCATGCACGACTCCCACGTGACACCCTACCCCGCGATCAGGGCACGCAGCCCGGCTGCATGCCCCATTACCGGGTGCACATTCCGTTTCTTGTGAATAGCTTCCTCTTCCCTAGTTAGTTACAATTGAAGTCATCACCGGTTACCCTACCTGTCGTGACTGTGACTCAGCCTACAGCTTGTGCGCATGCGTATCTGTAGGCACATAGGTGCCTACCATCACCTCCCTTTCTTTCCTCTGATTATTCGTTCGATCCCTCTAGGCAGCAGAGTATTATTCTAGACAACTAGTCTTAGATCTAGGAATTTATCTTAGGTATTGCAGTACGAGATGGGCAGCAAGCATTGATCTTGAGTGGAATAAAGCTCTTGATTCTTCTATCTAGAGAGGGAGTGTAGATGATCTTATATAGATAGAAGAACAGTGGAAGTGAATGAATAACCCAGCTGTTGGGTTGTGGCTGTGTAAAGCGTAGGCAAAAGGAAGGTTGGTGAGGCTTGTAGATACTGATGTGCCAGTGTGACAGTGCAACATTAGGCAGCTGAGTAATTATTCTAGGCAGCTATTCTTATGTCTAGACATTTCCTTCCCTTTTAAAGGAAGACCGATTCAGAAGGTCCGAACGATCCGGTGACTAGGAGCAGCCTCAGGGTCAAAATAGCTGCAAGCTCGGTTGGGAGGTCTGCTGACTGCATAGAAAAGTTGAGCCTCTACCCGTTGATCTTGGTGTGGGGCCACAGCAGCCCAACTAAGTGTCTTCGCCACTTAGTTGGCCCAAAAAATCCGGCACAGCCCAAAAAATCCGGCACAGCAGCCCACCTCCAAAACGTCAACCCTATGCATCTCAACCGCGTTTTCTCGCGCAACTTGACTTTATTTACGTATCTTTTTGCCGGAATACATTATGACAGATAACATGGCTACCCTGGAGGCAGCAAAGCCGTTCTGGCGTCTCGTCGCGACCCCAGAGCCGATGTTCGTCGCTCAACAACACCAAAAGTACGCCTCTTTCCGTGCGAGATGCGGCCATCCGTTACAATGTGAAGAGCTCATCCGTACAGAGAGCCATTAATTTCATAAGAAACCCTTTTCCCGTGCTCCAGGGCGTCCATTGGCGCTGACGGAGGACGAAGACGACGCCCTGGTTGCGTATGTACAGTGGATGGAACGCACCGGCATGCCCGCCACGAGAGCAACTTGAAGCTGTTGCAAATGCAATAAGAATGCGTCGAGATCCCAATGCCCGCCCGGTCTCGTCAAGTTGGCTTGACAATTGGCGTGGAAGTCATCCTGCGATCGCGAAGACGTATCTCAAAGCAGTTGAACGAGCCCGGAAGTCCTTTGAAGCCCACGGGGTAGAAGAAGTCGAATTTTTCTACTCAAAGCTTCGAGAAATCATCACCAGCTACCGTATTGGCAGTTCAGAGATCTGGAATGAAGACGAGGCCGGAATACGCATTGGGTGCCTGCGAGAACGCATCCAAGTTCTCATCACGCGCACCACTAGAGTCAAGAGCACCCGGCCCCGAGTTTTAGACCCAGCAAACCGAGAATCCTGCACGGTAATTGCCTCAGTTAACGCAGTGGGGGACTCTCTTCCACCCTGGCTTGTTTTCCAACATTACCCTACCACCAACTGGGCCGGCATCGACATCATGACAGGCGTACGGTTTGCCCAGTCGCCAACTGGCTTTTCCAACGCAGAGATACACCTTGAGTGGGCAAGGCATTTCAACTGCTGGTCTTGGGCATCGTCAGCGCAAGCAAAACAGTCAGGAAATTCGCTGGAAGAGTGGTTCGGCTGTGACGAGCATCTTCGGCGCCCCAACATGGGGATGAGTCGCGGAGGCGCCGCCAAACCAACGGCCTGACGACGAGAAGATCTACCGATTGCTTGTTGTGGATGGCTTTACAGGGCATACCACCCTTGACTTTGCTGAGTATTGTATCAAGTTTGATATCATCATTGCTATTTTCCTCCACATTCCACCCACCTCATGCAGCCGCTTGATGTTGGGGTATTCCAGCCACTAAAGTCAGCACATCAGAAAGCGCTTCGGAAGTCGCTCGCAGAAGGCAACATATCATTTTCGCGGGTCAACTTCCTCACAGCTTTTCAGGACGTATATGAGGCTGGCTTCACGCGGCATAACATTATGGCGGCATTTGAAAAACAGGCCTCTTTCCTGTCGACCCAGCGCCGGTGATCACCAAGATCCTCCACGAGCAGCTACGACAACAGCAGCCGATCAATCCTGCATACGCCTCGCTCCTACCCTCGGAGACGCGTTTCCAAGTCGCCGCGGATGCCCTCAATGATATCCGGCAACGGTATGGGCCCCTCATGAGCTCGCCATCACGAGAAAACTTGCGGGTTCTTGCGAAAGTGAACACCGAGTCTATCGCGATGGCGTCACATTCCCAGGGCATAGTCAGCGATAAGAATAGCCGAACCCAGGCGTATGCGAATCGAATGAAGAGAGGCAAGATTGTCAGGCCGCGCGGAGAGTTTATCACGAGCTCCAGCATGGCCGACATCACCCGGGAGTATGAGGAGCTCCAGGCAAAGCAAACCCGGCTTCAAACGCGCCAGGAGATAAGGATGCATCTTAAACGAGTTCGTGGAGAGATGCAGAAGATCCGAGAAGACTATAAAGTCGGGAAGAAGCAGTTAGTCAATGGCAGAGTCAAGACATTGAACTTTAAGCCCTGGCTAGAGTTTACGGGACGAGACGTTGAGTTCTACACTCTGGAGCAAAGTTGCGATACCCTCATGCGGGAGCTCAAAGAGCCATCCAAGGAATCCTTTTCTATGATACCACGAAGAGAAATAACTCCGCCAGAGATGTCAGGCGCGCGCAGCGACCCGACCTCGCCCACTTACAGATATGTCGTCGTTGCCCGGCAGTGACGATACCGTCTATTTCACAGGCCTCGATCTTGACAAACATAGTGAGGATGGCGCCGACGATGAAGACGAGGACAATTTACTCGACACGCAAGAGAATATACCTCATCGCCGCCGTTAGCAGCGGTTGAAGCGGTAGTCGATACACCATGCCCTCGACCGCGCACCCGATCGTCCAACAAGATACAGCAGACGCTCCAGGAACACAGGTATGGATAAAATAGCTCTCAGAGACGCACAACAGGCGAAATTACTACATAATACGTCTATTTGGACTCACAAACGCGGTCTTCCTATCTCTTCGACTGGAAGGCGGCAGCTCCTAAATAGGCCCAAAGACGTGATTTTTTCACTTTTCGTTGTTACTTGCGTCTTTAGGTGATCCGCAGCTATTGATCACATGTATATTTTAGCTATTTGAAGTCGCATTGACGGCACCATGAAGCGAAGCGTAGAATTTCCTTGATTTTGCACCCCAAATTGAGGACCCTGCTGTGCCGGATTTTTTGGGCTGTGCCGGATTTTTTGGGCCAACTAAGTGGCGAAGACACTTAGTTGGGCTGCTGTGGCCCCACACCAAGATCAACGGGTAGTTGGATGACAACTGGAATGAGTTGGATGACAACTGGAATGAGTTGGTCTTCAAGCCTAGTTCAACCAATGGTTGCTCTGCTGATTGCCCATCTCCAAGCTCTTCTTCTCGGGCTCGATTTGCCCGCTCAAGTAATGCTTGCTATGTACGTTTAGGTCAGTGTACTCACAAACAGATATTGCGCTTACATATTCAGCAACACCCCCAGTTGGGGCTTTGCGGTACGCAAGTATAGGCTGCCGGCCACTTTCGACGTGTTGAATGATCTTATCCCGGAGACCAAGATAGAAACGCTTAAAGGGTCGCAATTTATCCGGGTCCTGGCGACTTCCAAGAACGACCTGATCGTAGCCCATTTTAAGGAGCGTCTTGTGGCACCAATCCTTTGTCTCGGGCTCCAAGCACGTGCTGGTGTCACAGGTCCCGGGGCCGGCCGACCGGTCATCCGGTAATCGGATTACCGCCCCGCCCCATGCAAAACCATGTCGTTTTCGAAGGTTCGTCCCTGCGGGGCTGGCGTTTTCTTAGTCGGATTACCGCCATCGGACGGCAAAAGCGAAGGTCCACGCCCGCGGGGCCCTGCGCGAGACCTTCGATTTCGGTCTCGCTCACGCGCGTTGCGCTCCACCTCCTCCTCCCACCTCCTCCTCCACCTCCTCCATTGCCACCGTCGCGACGGCGACCGCCTGCACCATGTCAAACGCGATAGAGGATCCCCGGGTCAGGGCGGCCATTGAGCACTACCTGTTAGATCTGGAGAACACCCAGCCGAAGAATACGAAGCGAAATTATCGTCCCAAGCAGGAAGAATGGAAGGCAAGCCCGCATGCGCGCCCTGCAATCTTCATGTAGATCCATGCATTGACCGCCTCACAGGAGTGGTGTCAAGCCAACTGGCCTGCGATCCCGGACGTTTGGCCGGCCTCGGTACCACAGGGCCAACAGCTACCGGGAGACCTGGTCGATGAAGGAAAGCTCTTGCTCTTCATGAAGGAGGTAGTGGCATCACGTCCTCCAAAGAAAGGAAAGAGGGTCGCCGATGAAAGAAAACGACACCTCGAGGCTCAGGAAGCCAAGAGGGCCGTGAAAGACGCAGAGCACCATCAGGTAACAGATGTTGATCACGGGATGTGGTCGTCGGACTGAGCCAGCCCATCATACTAACACCCAGCTTCCCCAGCAGATACCATCGTTGTAGGCGGCGGAGGTAGCGAATACGAGTCAGACTCCGACTTGGAGTTGTATGAGTCCACGCTCAAACTACAGTATAATACTGTACGGGGCTACGTCTCGGCCATACAGAAGCTTTACGACGAGCAGAAGAGCCGGGAGTCAATCCTGCGGCCCGGCCACAGGGAGTGGCACTGAAGGCACTCAAACGCAGCATTCTTGCAACGACTTGGAGCCGGAAGAGGAAGGAATACATGGACAGGGAGTTGGAACTCTGAGAGATGTGTATGCGCCGGCGCAGATACCCGACCACACCAACGTGGCATGGTCCGAGGAAAGAGATCGCCTGCGCCCTGAGGACGCAGGTGGACTTTCTGCTCGGGAACCACATGCTGCTGCGGTCCGGCAACCGCCTGCCGATGGAGTTGGCAGACTGCTTTCCCTGGACTTACCCAACGAGGGCTGCAAGGCCCAGGGTATACCACGAAGGCGCTGGTTGTCGTGATGAACTGTGGGAAGACCAACCAGCACGGCCGCATGGAGTATGGATCTGCTTTGCGGCATCGAGATCCGCGGTCTTGTCTCATCGGCGCCCTCGCGTTCTGGCTTTTCTGGCGCTGGCAGGTAGAAAAGGCGGAAAGGTTTCCGTCTTCCAAAGAAGCGAAGACTGGTATGAAACGAAGGTGCTCCGCCGATCGGCGAAGGAGCCTCAAGGTAAGCGTGATGGCATTCACCGGAATCCCATAACTCAGAGGGTGCATCGACCCTTTCACTCACCGAATATACAGCTCCGTTGTCGGGCCAGACTGCCCGAGAATGGACGTCCAGGTTCTACAAGAAGGCCGGGATCAAGGTCTCCAAGGTCAGCCATGCGCCTAGAGTGGCCGCGACGCAAAACGCCGACATGGCCGGAGTGGATGAAGGCCAGGCATGTCATCTGCCCTAGGCAAGCCGCCAACCCCCTGGCCTGGGCTGACCCGAACTATACAGATCCGCCGAGCCGGTCGTTGGAATAACGGAGACCAAATGACCGGCTGCTATCTGACTTCCCTGCCTTTCGAATTCATGAGGGCCGTGGCCGACTTTGACCCTGAATGGTCGGGGTCTTATTTCGTGCCCCGGGCCACCGTAAGGCCGCCTGTGGTGCTACTCGTGCAGGTCTGGCCTCAACTCGACAAATGGAAAGAGGCCCACAGTAGCCCTTTCTCAGATCTCGGGGTGGAGCAGAACATGGCCGCCGGCGCCTTCTTGGAACTCCTGGAGTGGCTTCGAGAGGTGCTCCTGCAGGACGCTGTCTTCCTTCGCGAGTCCTACCCCGACCATCCTATCTTCCAGGATCCGGTCTTCTCTTGCCCCGAGTTTGAAGCGTTCGCCAGCAAAGTTCAAGACACATGCACACGGGACCACGAAGACAGCCATACCACGGTCATTCAAAAGCGATGCCGGTGGTTGCGGAGAAGCTGCGCACAGTACTGACTCAACAGGTCGCAGCCGAGCAGTTAGCTGAGCGAAGACATCTAGACCTTTTGGGGGCTTCTTACGAACTATGCACAAAGTTGGACGAGTTTGCGCAGGCGACCTACACCGTCACCTTCAGCCCCGGCCAAGGTGCTGCAGGTCAACATGCGGAGATCGCGGGAGCTCATCAACAGAGGCGCCGCGCTCCACGAGAGACGGTCCTCAGGTCCGAGATAGGCCCTTCGCAAGCGGGCGGTCCGACATACGCTCCGCTCTCTCAGAGCAGCAGCAGGGAATGGTGCAAGCGGGCCAGGACAGGCCCAGGGAAGAGCGCATGGCGAGCCGCCTGGGCCGCGCGAACCTCCGAGCTTCAAGCTCCCCCGTTCTGTCAAATCTGTACAGGAGCTGCTGCGTCTCTGGCGGCAGGGCTGGGGCGAAATACCTTCTGTGGATTCTCTTGAGCGAGACTGGGGTGCTCGATGGCGGCCATCTGCAGAGAAGAATTACTTTTCCACGCGCAAGATCATCATCGATGAGGTTCGGAGGCGGGCCCAGTCGGACGGCTTAACTGAAGATATCGTGGCGAGGCAAATGGACGAAGAACGTGGTGGACCCAGCTCTTTGGATAAGTTGTTCAAGGCCATCCGAAAGGACAGGCAAGGCGAAAAGGGACACAAACGTGCGTCGGGGCAATTCAACGTCGGTGGTAGCGAAAAGTCGATGGCGCAGTGATTTTGAACACCCGTCTGATAGAATGACCGAGGACCTTGGCGGCGAAAGTGCCCCCAGGCCGTCAGGGGGCCTGTAGACAGGGTATGCATCCGCTAAGCGTCGCTGTAGCTCCAGTGCGTCAAGGCTAGAAAATGCTTCAAATCACCGCAACCTCGCAACCGACAGGATGTAGGACCTTAGACAGGGTGCATTCTGATCGCACAAACGCAGGCTATCCAGTCGAACTGGTTTTCTCGTCGTCGGTCCCGGCTTTCGCGCTTTATGGCGCTCCGAAGATGACATCAACCCGGCAGAGGTGATGTCAAGGGCAAGCGGGTAATCGGCGGTAATCTGCGGGGTAATCCGCTGACCGCCCACCAAAGCCGGACCTGTGACATCCACTTGATGTCGTTAGCCCAGCGATGAGGGACCTCGACGAGTACAAGTCCTTCACCGCAGAACCCCCCGTTGCCATTGACTGTTCCCCGCTTGCGTGGTGGCTAAGAGAGGAGCAGCAACAGCGATACCCCTGTCTTTCCAAAATGGCTGTTGATATCCTCTCCATACCTGCCATGTCGGCCGAGCCAGAGCGAGTATTCTCCGGCGCACGGCGCACAATATCGTGGGATCGATGCCGCTTGGGAAGCCATGCAATCGAGAGAGGAGAGTGCATGAAGAGCTGGATTAAGAGCGGCATCACGCAGGGAATTCCGGTCGACTTGGCCGGTGAGGAGGAGAAGGAGGAGGCTGGCGAGATGGAAAGGTGGCGATGCTCAACACCTGATTCTTCCTGTAGCTGAATTATTGGATGACGTCATCTCGTGTATTCCATACGTATGGAATAAGCTTCCATACGGGGTGCGTTCCATATTCCATATTCCATACAGGCCTGTATGGAGTATGGAATATGGATAGAAAGACTGAGCAGAAGGACCAAGTCAAGGCTCAAGGAGACGCCGACAGTTGACCAGCCTGACGAGGAGGATAACTACACAAACCTCAAGAACATCAAGAAGAGACCAATGATAACATCAGTCTTGATGACGAAGATTCATAAATGCCTTCACAAGTGTAACAGGCTGGGCCCGTGTGGGTCTTGGCAGTCGCCCTCGACCAAGAAGACCCACACCACCTCCTGAGCTCCGCTCAGGACCCCGCGGCATATCCTCTTTTCTTCTCTAGCTTTAGGATACTCGTTGCAGTCGCTCAGCTAGTTGTCAACACACTCAGTTGAGACCGTTACAACTCACTGAGCCTGGTGGTGCAATAATTTTGCTGCCCCCTTTGCAGCAATCACGGACCGACTTTAACTCTACTGAGTCTACTCGCAGTCAGATCAGGCTCCCCCAGACCATAGGGGAAGATATGACTCGGAGCGCCTTAAAAAACTTCCTCATGTTGTTGTCAATGCTGCCCGGTCTGCCACTGGCCGGCGTTGCCTACGCGGCGACTTCCACGGCGCCCGCAACATCAACGGCGCCTACTTTAGGCAGTGATTCCTACCGATCGAGTTCGGGACTCATCGTGGGCGGGGGCTCGGCGTACGACTACGCGCCGAGCATCATGGTGGACGGCGCATACAAGATGTGGTGGTGCGGCCAGGTCCCTGGACAGCAAGTCCCCGGCGACAGCATTCTATACGCAGAGTCCTCCAGCCTGGATGGCATGTTCCACGCGCGGGGCAGCTCCGCGCCTCACCAAGTAGTGTTCGGGGGAACCGGCAACGGAAGCTTCGACAACGAGCACACTTGCGACCCTTCAGTTGTGCGTGTCAGCGGCACATACTATCTGTATTATGGTGCTGAGCGGCACGACGGTGAGCCGACCACGATTGGTATTGCCTCTAGTCCCGACGGAATCAGCTGGACTCGGCTCAACAACGACCAGCCGATCATCACCCCGGCGAACCAGCAAGACACGGGGAACAACTACGGTGCGGGTCAGCCGAGCGTAATCTACCGCAACGGCTACTTCTACGTGATGTTCACCGACACCACCGGTGCCGGGGCGTTAAGTAACGGGGCTGGCCAGTTCGCCTGGCGGTCGCCCGATCCGGCTTTCCAGACAAATGTCGAGGTCTTCACCACCTCTGGCTGGCAGGCCAAGACCCAGGCCAACTCACGCAGCTTCTCGGTCACTAATGCATTCTCAGCGGACTGGCAGTACTCCGACGCCCTAAATGCATTCATCATTGCCCAAGACAACGCCCCGGGGCAGACCACGCTGACGTTCCTCGATCCGTATGACCTTGCCAGCCAGAAGTACTCACAGGTGAACATTCCCGGTCAGTGGTCGGAGGGACCTGGCATCGTCTCCCGCCCAGACAAACACTCCGTCGTCTCGCTGACCAACGATTGTGGACGGATCCCCATCGACGTGATTCGTTCCACTACGGGGCCTCCGCCGCGACAGTTGGGTCATATCGGTATGGACCTGCTTAGCGACACGGGCTGCGCATCGATGCCGTCCAGCCAGATCGCCGCAATCTATGAGGGATACGGATTACAGGCCTCTGGCCTGCCAGCCGCCGTCGTAGTGAGCGGCCTACGGCTACAGATCCAGGACGCCGCCGCCTACACCGACCTTACCCACAATGCGATCAGCGTCCCCTCGTCGATCTACTATGCCGTGCCGTTCGGCACCAGCCGACTAGCCCGACTGATCGCCAAGACCGCCCGGCCCGCGCAGTGCGACACCTGTTGGGATTATCACTCCCGCTACGCCTGCGACCGAAAACAAGCCTGCCGACGATGCGGCGGGAAAGACCATCGCGATAACGACTGCAAGCAGCCGGAGAGGTGCGCGAACTGTTCCGGGCCCTTCCCGGCAGACCATAAGGAGTGCCCTGCCAGACCCAGGCGCTCTCACGGCCAACTCGTGCGGCTCTCCAAGATCGAGAAGTACGCCGTAAGGAAGATCGGCTCTCAGCTATACCGGCAAGCCAATATGGAGCTCGAACGGGCCACGGCGACCGCCTCCCCCCAACCCTCCCAAGGACCGACCCCATCGCCCTGCATGAGAGCTGCCGAGGCCCGCCTAGGCAAGCAACAGGACCAGCAGCAGCAACAGCAGCAGCAACAGCAGCAGCAATGTCGACCCCAGCGGCTGTCCCCCACCAGCGCGCAGGCGCCAGACTCCACAACGCTCCCTCCACCACAGGAAGACAGATCCGAGTCTCCTATGAAGAGGCGCCGACGAAACGTATCCCTGGACCCCTATGAACAATAGGCCCCTAACACTAACAACTCGCGACAGGAGGACGATCCGAGTTCTCCAGGCCAACGTGGCCAAAATAGGGGCCTATCATAGCATAGCCCTACGACTAGCGGAAGCAGAAGACTACGACGTCGTGCTCATCCAGGAACCGAACGTTTGGATAGAAAAAGAAGGCGGAGCCTGCAGGACCCAGACGCACCGCTCCTTCCACGCATTCGCCCCAGAACGCGCCTGGGAACCGGATCAGGCCCCGAGAGTGATCTCGTATGTCCGGAACCACCCAGATATACGGGCAGAGCAACTCTGCCCCGCCCCTACGCGTGATATCCTGTGGCTCCGGGTAAACAGCACCCTTATTATCAACTTCTATCGACACGCGAAGACACCCGAGCCACTCGACTACCTCCTCCACCAGCAGGACGTCCCCGAGAGATGCCTCATCGCGGGCGACTTCAACGCCTGTCATTTCTCCTGGCAGCCTGGAGCCCGGAGTGCGAGGAACGGAAAGGACATCGCCCAGTGGGCGGCCGACAAGGGGCTCGGACTGCTCACCACGCCAGGCGAGGCCACACACGCCCGCGGAAATACCATTGATCTAGCCTTTGCCAATATCCCCTCTGCTGACGCGCTTATCGAAGAGCACCTTCATACCGGCTCGGACCATTACACGATCAGCATTACGCTCCCCGGCGGGATTCCCCCCCCAAGGACGATAGCTAGACCAAGGGTAAGCTCCGAGGAAGAAATGAAGCGATTCGAGGAACTTGTGCGGGCTGGGGCCACAGCACTACCCCGGCTGGCCGTTGAGCCCAGAGGCCTGGAGAGGCTGGCCGAGGCGCTGTCTCGCCTACTCCAAGAGGCGGCCGACGCAGCGGGCCGACGGCCCAGGAAGAACGCGAGAGGCACCCCATGGTGGAACGATCAGTGCGCCGGTGCAGCGGCCGAACTAAGAGCTATGCGGCGGATCTACCCCACAGGGCACGGCAGAGAGGTCCAGACTGCCCGGCGGGAGCTGCGCCGGGCGGTACGGCGGGGTAAGAGACATTTCTGGCAGACTGTTCTAGAAGGCGCCGAGAGCAACCAGGATATCTATAAGATCATGCGGTGGTCGAGGAAACCGAGCCGTTCCGGGCCCCGCCTATACAGGTAGGCGACCAGGTCTTCGAGACCCAGACGGAAAAGGCAAACGCGCTCCGAGTCGAGATCCTAGAAAGGCGCGGGGCCGCGGACGACATCCCGGACCCCTGGGCCCCAGAGGTGCTGGCCCCAGGAGGACTCTCGACTGCAGCGTCACGCTCGCGGATGCGGCATGCGCCTGCACCTCTACGGGCAACACCTCCCGGGGATCGACGGCATCACGGTCCGAATGCTGCGTCGCGTCTGGAACCACATCGGCGAGGCGGTGAGGGGACTATATGAAGGCTGCCTACACGTGGGCTACCACCCCGCCTGTTTCCGCGCAGCAGAGGTCGTAATGATCCCTAAGCCTGGCAAGAGGGACCTGTCTATTCCGAGAGGCTGGAGGCCGATTTCTCCCAGCTTGCCTCGGCAAGGGACTCGAACGCCTAATAGCCCGGCGCCTAGCCTGGGCTGCGATCACACAACGAGTCATCCACAGCCAGCATGCGGGTGCCCTGCCCAAACGTTCAGCGCTCGACCTAGCGCTAGCATTGCTCCACGACGCGGAGACGGCCCTCACCGAGGGGAAAGTCGCCACGCTAATCACGATGGATATACAGGGCGCCTTTGACACGGTTCTGCGGAACCGGCTCCTCCTACGCCTACGGGAACAGGGCTGGCCAACAAACCTGGTCCGGTGGGCAGGCTGCTTTATGGAGCAGAGATCGGCCAGAATACGGCTCGAGGATATAACGACGCCGACAACCCCCCTGACGTGCGGGCTGCCACAGGGCCCCGGCCTCCCGATTCTCTTCCTCCTCTATACAGTGCCCATCTACTCGACAGGGGAACCGAACTCGCGCTTCGGCTACGCAGATGACGTGGCCACCCTGATCCGGGGCCGGTCCTACAGGAGACGGCCGCCCGGGCCACGCGCGCCGCGGGTGAGCTCATCCAGTGGGGAGCCGATAATGGCGTAGTGTTCGACCCGGGCAAGACAGAAGTCATCCACTTCACGAGACCGAGATACAAAGGGGACCTGCCGTCGGTCTGGCACGGGTCCGTAGAAAAGGAGCCACAGCAGGACCTGCGCTGGCTCGGCGTCTGGTACGACAGAAAGCTCTCATTCCGCACGCATGTGGAGAAGTGGGCCGCGAAGGCGATGACGGCCGCAGGGTTCCTCCAGAACCTCTCAAACACCCGGCGCGGAATCCCTCCCCGGTCGACACGGCATGCGGTCACGGCCTGCGTCCTCCCGATCCTTTATACGGCGCCCATGTATGGTACCCGGGGCGCTTCGGCCTGTGTGGGGGACTGCCCGCTTAGTTCCGTCGCGGATCACCTACCTGAAGAATAGGATCCAGCTGACCTTAAACGTCGCGATGCGCGCCATCGCGCCCGTCTGGTGTACCATGCCCATTGTGGCCCTCCACCGAGAGACCGGGATCCCCCCTGCCACGCTGCTCCTCGCAGACGCTCAGAGACGCGCCGCGGTCCGTCTACGCTCCCTAGATGAGCGGCACCCTTGACACCCCGTATGAGCATCCTCCCAACGCCTGGCCGGGAGCTAATGAAGAGGCACGGTATGCGGGCCTCGCGCGCCCAGAAGCAGCACGCCTCGAGACTCCTGCGTCTTCACCAAATGACGGCCCATGCTCCGAGGCCCCGACTTCTCCCCCCAGCACCCCCTCAGCCCGACCCGACAGGGGGCGTAGACAAAACGCAGGCGGCGAGAGACTTCAACTCGTGGCTCCGGGTATGCCCTGAAGATACCCTCATCGTCTACACTGACGGCTCGCAGAGCGAAGACGGCGCCTGCGGGTATGGGTACTCAGTGTGGCTAGGCCCCAGCGAAGTGACCTACGGCAGCGGTCGGGTCCTACTCGCTGAGGTCTACGACGCAGAGGTGGAAGGCGCCCTCGAGGGGCTTCGAGCGGCACTCACGTGGTCCCCCAGGACCCCGGACCAGCAGTGCCGGATAGTCGTCTGCCTTGATAACTCTGCGGCTATAAGAGCCATACGAGGCAGCCCATCGATCTCGTCGCAAGCGGCGGCGGAGAAGTTCGCTGAGGCCGCGGCTCGGCACGGAGACGTCAGGACGCGCTGGTGCCCCGGCCATACGGGGATCGCCGGCAACGAGCGGGCCGACCAGCTAGCAAAGGAGGGCTGCCGGGCCCTCGGCCCGGACAGGCCGCCGACGTACGCGAACATCAAGAGACAGGCCAAGGCTGCGGCCAGGCGCGACTTCCAGGACTGGTGGGCCGCGGGGGCCCCGAGCAGCTACAAGAGCCTAGGGCTCAAGGCCTCGCTCGGGTGCCCCCCGGAGCTGCACACCAAACGACAGCACCTCCATCACCTGCTCGCTGCGAGGAGCGGGCACGGGGACTTCGCCGACTACCACGAGAGGTTTAACCACGAAGAGGCCCGGATCGAATGCTCCTGCGGGAGGAGAAAATCACCGACACACCCTTCTACTGCCGGAAGGTAGGTACTGACACCGCCTAAGGCTAGCCCCACGGCGGGCAAGGCTATCAACCAGGCACTAGGAAGGGATTTGACCGGTTCCTCGGGCTAGTAACGGAGGCAGGATTCTTTGATCGGATTTGCCACCGCCACTAGCTCGAGGCAACCCCAACCTAATATGTACAATTCTCTTTTCTATGTTTTCTGCCCGTAGGCTCCTGTGGGCCTACGGCCCAGCTGACTGCGTGGGCTTTCTCAGTCACCCGGCTCTGACCGAAGACTGACTAATATTACGGCTTTACCGCCGTGCCCGGAACCCGCTGACGGGGGAAGGGACCTGAGAATCCGAGCGGCCACAGAGTCCAAGAATTGCTAGATAGGGGAGTAGAAGTAAGGAAGGCGCGACGGGTTTCCGGCGAGCACCCTCATCTTGTACTATACCTAGCCTAGCACGTCTTTTGCCCTTATAGGGATGTCCCAGACGGTAATCAATACTACTACTACTACTACCAGCCAAGCTGGTCAACTGAATTTCGCCGTTGAGAGGGATTGCGTCAGTTCCTCGTCGTAGATAGTTCTTCATCCTTCTTTACTCTGGGATAGGTGTGGCTCTTGCTTGCCATCATGGCAGAGCCTGAAGTGGCGGTCCTGGCGGACGTGGCGGGGCTAGATCCAACTAGCCCGACGCCATCGACGCGTCCGACGCGAGGGATGACGCCCAGCGGACGCGTGCAAGATACGTTGCGATCACTGGAAAATGCATCCGCAAGGGCTCCGAAGCGAGTCACGGCCCGAACGACGCGGGTCTCATCGGTCGGCAATGAAGGCGAAAGAGTTGACGAGGTGAAGTCACGCAGCAGTGTGGAGACCGCCAAATCGATGATGCAGAGGGTTCTAGAGATGCTGGCGAAGATGGGGAACGAGATGGTGGACCTGAAACATAGAGTATCCGAGCAAAGCGACACGATCAGGAAGCTGAGCGCCACGGTTTACAAGCAAAGCACCATCATTCAAGGACAGGAAGATCTGATCCGAGGCTTGGAGGTCCAAGTCCAGGAATCCAAGGAAGAGTTTCGACGCAAGAGCGATGAGCACGACGCGGAATTAAAACGGGGACACCAGGATCTTCAGAGAGAAGTCGCCGCTTTAAAAGAGCAATTGGCCCAGCTTACGCAGAAGCTGAATGCTTCGGGTGAGGTGACTCTGTCAAGCGGCGCTCGAGCAACGTTTGCCGATATTGCGCGCACACTGCCAGCGAGCCCGCCGACGAGTCTATCCAGCGTAGCTGTCCCAAGAAAGCAGCAGACAGCCAGCGATCCTCTCCATTGTACCATCGACACATCTCGCGTCAGCGAGTCGAACAAGAACAAAGCGCAAATCGGATCAATTCGCCAGGCCATCGAGACTGAGATGAGAGCGATGAACGGACAAGAGACCTGGAGGTGCGCAGCAGTCGTGAGAGTCCCGGAATGCCGACCGAGTCAAGATCGTCTGCAGAGACGAAGCCGAGCTTCAGATGGTCAAAGAGGCTGCGCAGAAGACAGCCGTGGAAGGTTCACGAGTTATGCGAGACCAGCTGTACCCGGTCCGAGTCGACAACGCCAACCGCACAGCAATCCTTGACGCGGAAGGCAACGTTCTGCCTGGAGCGATCGAGGCCTTGAGTGCCGAAAACAGAGTGACCATTGGCAAGATTTCCTGGTTGAGCAAACGAGAGTCTGGCAAAGCGTACGGGTCCATGGTGGTGTATGTCACCAAGAAAAGCGACGCAGAAAGGCTTCTAGAAGGGCACTACTTTGACCTAGCGGGAGAGTCAGCCACCACCTATGTATTCGAGCCAAGAACGGGACCAATCCAATGCTTCAACTGCCAGGAGATCGGTCACAAAGCATATGCATGCAAGAAGCAGCGGACATGCGGCAAGTGCGCAAAGGTTGGGCATCACCACAGAGAGTGCACAGCAATTGAGCCAAAATGCGTCCCGTGTGGCGGACCGCACGAGTCGTTCAGCTGGAAATGTAGGATGAGGAACCCGAACAGTGATGCTTGAGTCCCTCCGCATCCTACAGCTGAATGCGCACAAGAGTGATGTGGTGCAGCAAAGCCTGATGAACGACGCAGGCCTCAAGGACTTTGCTGTGCTGGCTCTTTCTGAGCCGTATGCGCGTGTTATCGACGGAGAGGTGGTGACGAGCCCTATGGGACACCATAACTGGACAAAGATGATACCGACGTGTGCTCGTGACGGCCTGTGGCCGATCCGTAGCATGCTTTGGATCCGAAGTGACCTTGAGGCGGAGCAAGTGCCTGTGCCGTCGGCCGATCTCACAGCAGTGGTGCTCCGACTCGAGGAGGAAGTGATGGTGGTATCAGTGTACGTGCAAGGAAAGAACGACGAGGCGCTGACGAGCGCGATGGAGCTGCTGCGCGACCTGATCGATCGCTTCCGTGATGGGACAGGAAACCGCACAGATGTGGTTCTGGCGGGAGACTTCAACCGCCACGATCTCCTCTGGGGCGGAGATGAAGTGTCAGCGAGCAGACAGGGGGAGGGCCAGCCCATCATCGACCTGATGAACGACTTTGGTCTCAGCAGCCTCCTGCCGAGAGGGACGAAAACGTGGCAAAGGGCGGACGAGGAGAGCACCATCGACTTGGTGCTGGCATCGGCAGAACTGGCAGACGAGGTGATATCCTGCATGACTCACCCGACAGATCACGGGTCAGACCACAGAGCGATCCAGACGGCCTTCGACATTCAAGTACCGGAGAGAACGTTTCCACAGCGCCTGATGCTCAAGAACGCGCCGTGGATCGCCATCGCAACCAGGGTCGAGGACGAGCTTCGGCCTCTTCCGTGGAGTGTGGGGGTACAGACGCAGGCGGATCAGCTCATGAGGGTGGTCACCAAGGTGCTTCATGATCTGACACCTCGGGCACAGCCGCCGCCATACGCGAAGCGATGGTGGACAAAGGACCTGACGCGACTGCGGCAAACGTACACGTATTGGCGCAATCAAGCAAGGGCGCAGCGAAGAGCCGGTCAACCGCAGCCGGATCTGGAGCAACGCGCCAAGGACGCTGCCAAGGAGTACCACGACAACGTGCGGAAACAGAAGAAGTCCCATTGGGACGACTTCGTCACCGACGAGAACAACATCTGGAAAGTGGTCAAGTATCTGAAACCCGGCGTGAATGTGTTCGATGACAAGGTGCCGCCGTTGAGGAGAGCCGACGGCTCGATCACCAAAGGCAAAGGAGAGCAAGGTGAGGAGCTCCTGAGCACCTTCTTCCCGCCTCTGCCAACCATGATCGAACCGGAGGGTGAGCGTCCGCAAAGAGAAGCGATAACCATGCCCGACCTCACCTTGCAAGAGATTGAGGAAAAGGTGATGGCGGCCAAGTCTTGGAAAGCGCCGGGGGAGGACGGCCTCCCTGTGATTGTGTGGAAGAAGCTCTGGCACGTGGTCAAGCATCGGGTGTGGACGCTCTTCGACTTATCGCTTCGAGAGGGCGTGGTGCCCCATCAATGGCGGACGGCCAAGATCATCCCGCTGAAGAAGCCGGGTAAGGACGATTACACTCTGGCCAAGGCGTGGCGACCGATCTCACTGCTGTCAACCCTTGGCAAGATCCTCGAAGCAGTCGTTGCAGAACGCATCAGCTATGCAGTCGAAGCTCATGGGCTGTTGCCCGCGAACCACTTTGGTGCACGGAAACGCAGGTCGGCAGACCAAGCACTCGTGCTTCTGCAGGAGCGGATATATAAGGCTTGGAGAATGGGCAGGTTTTGAGTCTCGTCAGCTTCGACGTCAAAGGGCGTACAATGGAGTTTGCAAAGAGCGGCTGCTTGAGAGGATGAAAGCTCGAGGCATCCCGAGTCGCCTGGTCAAGTGGGTAGACGCATTCTGCTCGGAACGGACCGCATCGGTGGTTGTCAACGGGCACACATCCGAGCAGCAAGCCCTGGCGCAGGCCGGCTTACCCCAAGGATCTCCACTATCACCGGTGGCATTTCTGTTCTTCAATGCGGACCTGGTGCAGAAGCGAATCAGTAACAACAGCGGCTCCATCGCCTTCGTGGACGACTACTCTGCCTGGGTCACTGGACCAACGGCCGAGTCGAACAGAGATGGTATTCAGTCGATTATCGATGATGCGCTCGAGTGGGAGAAGCGCAGCGGCGCCACGTTTGAAGTGGACAAGACGTCCGTCATTCACTTCACACGCATCGCAGAACGCGACAGCGACTCGCCTTTCACCATCAGAGGGAATGATGTCAAGCCGAAGGACAATGTGAAGCTGCTGGGAGTCATCATGGATCAAGCACTTCGCTTCAAGGAGCATATCGCCGGAGTAGCCGCCAAGGGGCTGACCGCTGCCATGTGCCTGAAACGACTGAAGATGGCCTCACCACGAACGGCAAGGCAACTGTTCACTGCGACCGTAGCGCCGACCATGGATTATGCCTCCAACGTTTGGTCGCATGCATGCAAGGCGAAAGAAGCAACGTGGATCGAGAGGGCCCAGCGAGTCGGAGCCCAGGCGATCACGGGAGGGTTCCGTACGGTCGCGACGGCTGTGGCCGAGGCCGAGGCCAGCGTGCAATCATTTCGAGAACGCCATGCTCAAGCGGCGTCGAGATTCTGGATCAGAACGCAGACGCTGCCGAGGACGCATCCCTGACATCCTTGAAGCTGAAGCTGAACAGAAGGTATGCCTCGCCAATGCAGAAGCTTGCCTCGGCGATGGAAAGACTAGATACCAAACGCCTGGAAACCATCCACGAGTTCGCACTGGCGCCGTGGGACGACCGAGTGCAGGTAACATATGAGACGAACCGAGTGGAGGTGCTGAAGTCGGATGACCCGGAGGACATCACTATCGCGACATCCAGCTCTCAAAGGAAAGGCAAGGTCGGGTTGGGGGCGTCGTTCGAGACGCTCTCCTCAACAGCGCAGACGAGGTGCTGGCCAGCTATTCCGTCACCTCGGCTCCAGTGATGAGCAGAATGCCTACACAGCAGGACTCGAGGCAATCGCCACGGCCCTGAGGTGTGTTCCCCAGGCCTTCGTGACCGAGACCTCACAGTTGTGACAAGCAACCGCTCTGTCCTGCAAGTCATCGGGCGGCCACGGCAGCAGTCTGGCCAGTGCACGATACGGGCGATATACGGATCTGTTGAGTTTCTGGCGAGAAGAGGCTGTAGAGTCAGACTTCGTTGGGTGCCTGCAAAGAATGAGGAGTTCACTCTCGGGCCACTGGCCAAAAGGCAAGCGAAAAGGGCGACGCGAGATGAATGCGTCGCCGAACCAGCAACGTTCCAAGCAAGATCAACCACGTTACGTTTGCTGCTCAACGGACACACTCGAGTCCGTCAGATTCCAGAAGGAGTTGGAAACTACTCGAAGCGCATCGATAAGGCTTTGCCGGGCAAGCACACCCGCAAGCTATACGACGAGCTGAAAAGAAAGGAATCGGAAGTGTTGGTACAGCTTCGAACTGGCAAATCGCGGCTGAATAGCTATCTTTGCAAAATCGGGGCAGTAGAATCGGATGAATGCACGTGTGGACAGTCGGCGGAAACGGTGGAACATTTCTCTTCCGATGCAGAAAATGGACGGTACAACGAGAAATCATGAGTCGATATGCAGGCGGGAAGATGGGAGACTTGTCCTTCTTCCTAGGTGGCAAGGCAGAGTCAGACGACGACAAGTGGCAGCCTGATATGGGGGCTGTGCGGGCGACAATACAGTTCGCATTGGCAACGAAACGTTTTAGCATGGACCGGCAACGGGCCATGTGCTGATCAAGGGACAATCGTACTAACACAACAGCCTTCAACTTGGCAGACCGCGCTTCAGTCGCTGAAGGTAGGACGCTGAACACTTGGAGAAACTGACCTTCAAGCAGGCCTGTCATGTCATAGCGAACGAGGCTGGAAACAGATGAAAAGAAGCGTGGGGCTTTGGGTGAGATGGAACAATGTACAGAAGGTAGACAGGCTAGCGTAGTGGCTCTATGGGGGAACCCTCCGGGCGTAATACAACCAAAAAAAAAAAAAAAAGCTGGTCAACTCTCCCCTGTAAAAATTCTTCTCTTCTGCGGGCTGTTAGCAGCCTGTTAGTGGATAATTATTTTCAGGTCACCCGACCATGCTTCTGCCTCTCTAGCCCTAACGGGGCTCTAGCAAGCACCAAAAGGCAGACTTTGGAGAGTTCGTCTCCTCTGGGAAGCTGGTCTCGAATAACGGCATGCCTCGCGCTGCCTCGCCTTCTGCCGCCTCGCGGCATCGCCTACTTCTGCCGCCTTTACTGGCTGGCCTCGACTTCTGCCGCCTCGCGGCCCCGACCTCTTCTGCCGCCTCGCGGCCCGACTTCTTCTCGCCCTTCCTGGCACGCCTCGCGCTGCCTCGCACCCTCTGCCGCCTTTACTGGCTGGCCTCGCCTTCTGCCGCCTTGGCTCTGCCTCCTTCTGCCGTCTCGCGGCTCCGAACTTGCCGCCTTGCGGCCTTTCGCCGCCCAGCGGCACGACTTCCTCTGGACTGGTGGGCCGCGGGGCCCGAGGAGCTACAGAGCCTAGAGCTCAGGCCTCACCCGGGTGTCCCCGAGCTGCACACCAATCGACAACACCTCCACCACCTGCTTGCTACGAGGAGCAGGCACGGGGACTTCGCCGACTGTCATGACCACGAAGTGGTCCTGGATCGAACGCTCCTGCGGAGAAGACAATCGCCATCGGGGCGAACCCCGATTAACATTGCTACACTCTCTGCTTCCTTTTTCTTTCTTTTCTTTCTGCCCCGTAGGCCCTCCTCGAGGGGCTTGGCCGGCCCATGACTTCGTGGGCTTTTCAGTCACCCGGCCTCGGCCAAAGACTGACTACTATTACGGCAACTGCCGTGCCTGGAACGCTGACGGGGAAGGGCCCTGAATTTCCGACCGGCCTCAGAGCCTCAGAATTGCTAGATGGAGTGGTTAGGTGCTACACACGGTCCTTAGTCCAGGTACTCGGGATATTCTATGTATCTAGTCTTCTCTAGCCTAGCACGTCTTTTGCCCTTATAGGGATGTCCCAGACGGTAATCAATACTACTACTACTACTACTACTACCAGCTAAAGCTGGTGCTGACTACCAAACTTTGAACACCACCAAAAGTTGAACACTTGCCCTACCACCGACATTAGAAGCGCTTCAGCAGCCGCACTTCGCGACCACTTTCGTAAATCTCAGCCCTGTCAAGCTTTCCAATGGACCTCCATTGTCTTGCAGTCTTTGCGGCTTCATTAAACCAACGCTTAAGTGCGTTCTTGGCCTTCGCTTCCATCCTGGCGATCACCTCCCTCGCCTTGGTAACTTCGTCTTCTTCCTTACGCCGGACCATTGCACGGCCTTCCTGGACTGTAAGTACCCCTCCCGACTGCAGAACCTTGTTCTTCATGGCCCTCCGCTGTTTGGCTATTTTCTCTGCGTATCTAGTCCTTCCTAGGTCCTTTTTCGTCTGCAGGAGTTCGGCAACGTTGCTCAGAGAGCCCTTGATGAATCGGCTCATATTGTGAGCCAGATCCGGGCTAATTTCGTTGACTTCACCCAATCCGTTCTCTATGACCCTGGCAACCTTGTTGACTTGTCGGACTGTCAAAGGCGTGCTGAATGGTGAAGATTCTGGCCCAGAAGGCGGCGGAGTAGGCGTTTTTGACGTCACCATCCTACTACTTATAAGATCCAGCACTGGCTGGGGATAGAATGGCCAGATTCCTGTTTTCTTGAAAGCAGAGCGGATAGTGCTTGCTCTGAATGCTTTCTTTCGGACTTCTTGGATGCAGCCGAGGAACTCAACCTTTGTGATGTTGACCAACCCGTCACGGACCATGAGGTCCAGCGCTTTGGCGTGGTAGTGCTTCAACGGCTGGAACACCACCACATCTAGTGGCTGCAGTAGATGTGTCAGATTTGGGGCAAGCCGAAGGAATGATGCCATGGGCATCACAGTACTCAATGAACTCCTTCGTATGGTGCGACCCATGCCGGTCCAAGATGAGAAGACGTTTCCTCCCTTTTCGGCACCCGTTAGTGTGCTTGTCAAAGTGTTGCACCCAGTCGAGACTGATCTCATCGTTCGTGTATCCACTGGGAGTAGGTCGAATGACAGTCTCTGGGTCGAGCTCCTGTTGATGATACCAGCTCGCCATGTGGTTCTGACCGGCGAGAATTATGAAAGCAGGGGTAAAGCGCCCGGCGGCGGAGATTGCCTCAATGAGAGTTGCTGACTCCCGATTCTCGGGGACACTGAAGTAGTGAGACCTCTTTCGCTTTGTGACGATGAGTTGATCTTTCCCCACCCCGACTCGAAAGCCGGTTTCATCCATATTCCAGATATCATCGGGTTGGATACCTTCTCGCTCAAGAATCCTCTGCAGCCGCTGAAAATACTCCACGACCCGTTGCAAGTCCTCGGATGCTGCTCTTTCGGCGCTCAAGGTCTTCTGGCGCTGCTTGCAGTACCCGTGGCGCTGGATGAATCGTGTGACCCAGTGAACGCCAACAGTAGGCGGGTCGCCCGATTTGGCTGCAGGGGCCTTGGCACGAAGGATTGCATTCGCGGCATCCACAATGAACTCGGGTCGCACAGCAAGGTTGACAGCATCAAGGCGATCGACATATCTACAGACGGCACCCTCATCTGCAACCGAAAGCTTTCTGTTGTGCGCGATACGCGAGGATTTGTGATCTGACCTCTTGAGGCGATATCTCAGTGTTGTGTGTGCCACCTCATATTTCTTGGCCACAGAGCGAATTGAGTTCTGAGGAAAATCCTTAGCATATTGAACAGCTTCTTCCAGACGTGATTCCATAGTTGGCTAGATTTGAGAGGTCGTGTGCGGCGCGAAAACGATGATTGAAACCAGTAGGTGCCAAAGTGTTCAACTTTTGGTGGTGTTCAAAGTTTGGTAGTCAGCACCAGCTTTAGCTGGTAGTAGTAGTAGTAGTAGTAGTATTGATTACCGTCTGGGACATCCCTATAAGGGCAAAAGACGTGCTAGGCTAGAGAAGACTAGATACATAGAATATCCCGAGTACCTGGACTAAGGACCGTGTGTAGCACCTAACCACTCCATCTAGCAATTCTGAGGCTCTGAGGCCGGTCGGAAATTGGGCCCTTCCCCGTCAGCGGGTTCCAGGCACGGCAGTTAAGCCGTAATAGTAGTCAGTCTTTGGCCGAGGCCGGGTGACTGAGAAAGCCCACGAAGTCATGGGCCGGCCGCAAGCCCTCGAGGAGGGCCTACGGGGCAGAAAGAAAAGAAAAGAAAAAGGAAGCAGAGAGTGTAGCAATGTTAATCGGGGTTCGCCCCGATGGCGATTGTCTTCTTCCCGCAGGAGCGTTCGATCCAGGACCACTTCGTGGTCATGACAGTCGGCGAAGTCCCCGTGCCTGCTCCTCGTAGCAAGCAGGTGGTGGAGGTGTTGTCGATTGTGTGCAGCTCCGGGGACACCCGGGTGAGGCCTTGAGCTCTAGGCCTTGTAGTCCTCGGGGCCCCGCGGCCCACCAGTCCAGAGGAAGTCGGGCCGCTGGGCGGCAGAAAGGCCGCAAGGCGGCAGTTCGGAGCCGCGAGACGGCAGAAGGAGGCAGAGCCGCAAGGCGGCAGAAGGCGAGGCCAGCCAGTAAAGGCGGCAGAGGGTGCGAGGCAGCGCGAGGCGTGCCAGGAAGGGCGAGAAGAAGTCGGCCGCGAGGCGGCAGAAGAGGTCGGGGCCGCGAGGCGGCAGAAGTCGAGGCCAGCCAGTAAAGGCGGCAGAAGTAGGCGATGCCGCGAGGCGGCAGAAGGCGAGGCAGCGCGAGGCATGCCGTTATTCGAGACCAGCTTCCCAAGAGGAGACGAACTCTCCAAAGTCTGCCTTTGGTGCTTGCTAGAGCCCCGTTAGGGCTAGAGAGGCAGAAGCATGGTCGGGTGACCTGAAAATAATTATCCACTAACAGGCTGCTAACAGCCCGCAGAAGAGAAGAATTTTTACAGGGGAGAGTTGACAGCTTTAGCTGGTGCGAGTTTTTCGAGGGCCAATAAAGTGGGGCGTGGCCCGGGTAGCGTGGCAGGCGTCTTCAGGGCCCTTTTCAGTGTTAAATTCTCGGCAGTACCTACACTGACTCCATAGCGGCGTAGGCGGCGGTAGCGGCAGAGATATCTCGAGAAGCTGTCACACAATGCGTAGAGGAAGAGCGCCCACATGCAAAATTTGCGAGGTCGGCCAACCAACGTCAGATGCCGAGCGGTGAGCGGGTTCTGCCCACACACCGAGAACAGGGGGGGGGACATGCCTCTGAACTCCTATGCCCCTGTCGGCTGGGAAAGCAAGAAAGCACCGATTTGGCTGTTCATTAACGAACCAAAAGCAGAGGACACTTCGCCGTCGGACCCCTTTGCCTTTTGTCCAGCCGTGCGCAATGGAGGAGTCTGCCACTGAGAAGTACAGCAAGCCGCAGGTCGCGCCGACAGTGCCCAAGTCTTCATCAGCTGCCTCCGCTGCCGGCGGCCACGAGCCAGCGGCCGCGACGGCGCCATCGCCAGCCGCAGGCTTTCGAGAGTCGTCCTTGGCCGCAGAAGCAGGAGCGGACGCCACCGCAGCAGCTATGGTCGGCGACGAGTCAATCTGTGCAGGATGCAGCACTGAATATTCCTCCCGGAATGAATCAGTCCGTGAGATCATCCTCCGCCGCGCGCATACCAAACATTAGATCTCCGCCACCACCTCATCTACCTGCCAATCCTTGCCCGTCCGCCGACATAGATAGCTCCGTCGGTGCCTCGCCAGATCTCGTCGTTGACCCCCCCGACCCTCTTCCTGTTGAGGAGCCGTCAAGGTTGGAGCAAGACAAGTTATAACCTTCGGTGCGCTATGATGCCCCAGAAGCCATATATGCAAGGTACGTTGTCTCGTGACGGGTATGGTATGACGCACAACCCACAGGTAGTATCAAGACCAACCAACAGTATCGCAAGGCAATGGGTCTTCCACAAAGATATGACAAACAGAGCTATGAATGGTGTTTGGACTATAAGCAGATGTCTGCGGTCTGCGTTACCTCGACAGGGCGAAGAAGCTGGACTAAAGAGGAGATGATGGCATATTTAGATTGGAGTAAAGCAGAAGACGAACGTGTGGAAGCCCAGGTGGCGCAGGGGATGGGAGACAACCCTAGCGAATGCGAGTAAGGGTGTGAAGGAGATATGGCAGAGGATAGAGAGAGACAGCCGAGAGCAAGAAGCCTTGCATTCGGTAGCTGATAATTGTATCTTTGTCAAAACATAGAAATCCGCTATTTCTTTGGGTCGGCGACCCGTTCGGTGTGTGCTGCAGCAGTCAGGACTGGTGGTGGCCTGTGGGGGAAAAACGCGCCCGGGCGCCAATTTTAAAATGGCGCCCGGGCGCCAGTGTATCAGTCGCCCTCTGAACCGAAGGGCACGCTGGTTGTTGACATCACTTTGCGGCGCCCGATCGCGCGCTCCCGACATCGCCAGCAACCCACAGCACTACCTTCGACGTTGAAAGTCTCTTCATCTCTTTCTGCCCACCGTATGCGCTCCCAGCATCATCGGCCAACGACGATTACCTGACTTATCTGGATCCCGTCTCCCTTCAAATCAGATCTCTCGCCCGCCAGGACTGGAGCGTCTAGCTTGACCAAACGGGCCCTGGTCTTGACCAGTGCGACGAGTCAGGCTAATATCGTCGCCTGACCGAACGGATCGTTTGCTTTCGCTACCATCACGATGGACGATATTGAAGACCTGCGACGAAGGGTCCGAGAGGCGGAGAGTCGTGCCGAAGAGGAGCAACGCCAACGCAAAGAGGAACAACGCCAACGCGAAGCGGCTGAGAGTCGCGCATTGGAGGACCAACGCCGACGCGAAGCCGCCGAAGAACTTGCCGCAGCGTCGCGGCCACAGACGCTTCAGCAATATCTCGAGACTTGTCATTCGCTCCATCTTGCTATTCAGGTAATAACTGACCGGTCTTTGACTACGCAAGGCGAGACTACCAATCCGGCCGGCCGAATTTTCCCTCGACAAATTATCCCTTGGGACGACTTTGCAACGAGACAAGAGGAGATCTGGAACGACCTTTCGACCGGCGACTTGTTTTGCATACCCGCATTTCCATCTCAGCATCAGATAGAATACGTGAAGTCGTTGCTCAAGCCCATTAGCAGTGAGCTTGGGCTCCGGGACTTCGAGCGTGACGTCGTCGAAAACGCGGTTCAGAAGTTGGTTGACCGGGCATACACGGATCCGCTGCTGCGAAGTAGTCTCGGCCTTCAGGGGACTGTGACGTTCGAGAGCCATACGAATCTCGGTACGACCGACGACCCCATATCCGAGCCCTTGGAGCACATGTCTCTTGGCACAGGTAGCACTGGTCCCACAGAGCCGGCGTCTGGCCCGAAGCCGCCGGCGGCTCCCAAGGCCCGTCGCAGAGCGAGGGGCAAAGGCAATCGGGCGGACCAGTTCTGTATATACAGGACTTCGGACGGCCAGAAGGTCCCAGCGCTCGCTATCGAATACAAGGCACCGCACAAGCTGAGCGTCGACGAGGTCATCACAGGCCTTGAGTCGGAGATTCAGCCGGAACGTGACGTGATCAACAAGGATGGTCAGGGCTTCGCCTTCACGGCCAGGCGACTCACCGCTGCCGTCGTCACCCAGCTATTCTCTTATATGATCGGCAAGGGCATCCAGTACGGCTATGTGTGCACGGGACAAACACGAGCCTTCCTTCACATCCCAGACGATCCTTCCATAGTCTATGTCTCGGTATGTGTACCGAACCTGGACGTAATGGATGATGACGACGAGACGAGACTGCATCGCACGGCCGTCGCGCAGGTTTTCGCCTTCATTCTTCAGGCTCTCCGCGCTAAACCCCCGTCTGAGTCATGGCATGACGAGGCCGAGAGGCTCGGTACTTGGGCTGTCGAGTACGACGATATTCTGAGGAATATACCCGCGACGGAGCGCAAGCGCAAGGAACCTCGCGCCTCTCCCTATAGGCCCCAGCGTTGGAAGGGCTTTAAGAGATCGCCAATTCGGACCCGCTCCCGCTGCCAGCAACCGGACCCTGGTGTTGGACAGCCAGAGGAAGACGACGAGCCTCCTTCCCCTACTCCTAATCCATCTCGCACTGGCGGGAAAGCGGTGCCGTTAAGGGGAACGGGCTCGGGTGGTGGTGGGAAACAAGGACAACACCGAGGAAAGCAGCAGCAGTCGGGCCCAGCGACGAAGCCGGATATACAAAGCCGGCCATTCTGTACTCAAAATTGTCTCCTGGGATTAGCATATGGCGGGCCTACGGACGAGAACTGCCCTAACGCAGACCATCACAGGCAGGGGCACATCAACCGACTCGAGTTCCTCCGACTCATCCGAGACCAGCTTGCCACGGACCGCGGCCGCGATGCGGATTGTGTGTCACTCTATGTATCCGGGGCGCGCGGGTCACTCTTCAAGGTGCGGCTGTCATCTCACGGCTACACGCTCGTTGCCAAGGGTGTGGAGAGTCTCGATTTGGCCTGCCTGCAGCACGAGAACGAGATGTACGACCGACTCCGGCCTATCCAGGGGAAACACATCCCTGTATGTCTTGGCAGTATAGATTTGGTGCGGCCATGCCACTCTGACAGCGGTGTTTACGTGCACTTCATGTTTCTCAGCTGGGCTGGACAACCACTGTTTAACCGTGCTGACCTGGCCTTCAAAGCGGGCATTGACGACGCCGTCAGCACAATACTCAAGGCAGTGCACAAATTGCGTGTTCTTCACCGTGATGCGGAGCCACGCAACATCTTATACAATACAAATACTGGGAAGCTCATGCTTGTGGATTTCGAGCGTGCCGAGTTCCGCGGTCGCCGGCCTCTCGGTTTGATAGTCTCTAACGTCCAGAACCGGAAGAGGAAGCGGGGGATATTACAGAAACAAAAGAAGGACGACTTTGCGAGAGAGCTGGAGTCTGCTGTGGAGAGCGCTTCAGGTGTGCTGCGAGCTTGACCAGTCCGGCAGTCTGTGTAGGCAGAGAACATTGATCGCAAGGAAGCTCGACATTGGCAAAGCATGGCAATAACCAGGGAACGCGCTCCCTTGCATGGTGGTCCACGTGCATGAGTCAGCAAACTCGGACTGGAAAATCTCAAGATGCCGAAACAATCAGAGGGCAGTAAGTGCGCGCGGTTACCAGTCACTCGCATGTCTTGCCCCCATTTTTTTAAGTTGAAAATAAACGTGGTTCACAGTTCTCGTGCCCGCCATGAACAGAAGAAACGTCCCAACGGCAGTCGCAGTCAAATGCCAGTAACTACCAACGAGGCGTATCAGAGGGTGCCAGTAACCGCGCATCAGAACAGCCAAGAGCTGCCGGTAACTGTCAGGTAACTGACATTTTGATGTGAGGGGTTGTGAGCTGGACTCGCCCCTCTATTAGCGTCGGCGCATCGTGACATTCACCGGGGCAGTTGGCGCATCTGGGTTTATTTGTGTGCATCTGGGGTTCGTTTAGACGTATCTTATAGATTTTGGTACATTCCGTCCGGGCGCATCTCACACATCTGTGCATATGACCATACGCAGGTACAGACCCTTGGAAAGTCACGTGCTGAAGAGGGCAGCAGTAGGTATTGAGTGAATTCCGAAGTTGTTACCGATGAAAACTTTCTCTTGCTAAAATGCTTGCCAATCCACCAATCCCAAGACCACTTCGCTATGCATTCCCCGATGCACCCAGCTCTCACTTTTTCCCCGCAGAGCACAACGTGCAATCACTGCCTTCTGGCGTTTTGCCACCTGTGCAATTCGAGCACTCAGAGTCTGGCATGTTTGCGTCTCTGTTTGATCTGTCTTCCGGTCAGTTGATCCTGAATAGCCTTGGTATAAGGGTTAATACGGCAAGTTTCAGGCGGCTTACTGCGTCTTTTGTCAAAAACCTGTTCTTGGGCAGAAATGGAAGAGTTGGGCGCGGTGAGAGAAAGTCGAGACAGCGCATGCGGGGTTAAGGCACTTTCAATATTCTGGCACCTCGCTTAATTACATACCGAAGTTACAGCCTTAGTAGATGCCAGTGGCGACCAAAATTTCTCACTTCTGCCATCAGGGTAGCCGGCGGATTTCCCCGTCCTCCATGTCGCAAACAGACTGAAGATGGCTTCATCAGCTTCGGCAGAAAATCTCTTTGAACCCAATCAGGTTTCTCTTGCGATATCTGTAGATGCGGTGCTACAGTTTCTGGACGATCACGGCTTCTTCTACCAAGCAGTCCCCGAGATTGGCGAGCTTGTCGAAGAGTTATATCGCACAAAACGTTCAAGAAGCGAAGATGCTAGGGTAGAATATTTTAGGCCTGCTCTCCGGCAAGATCCAGTGAGTAAAGCCACCAGATATCTTTGAGCATTTTGACTAAGCATTGTAGCGGCTCAGCAGAATCCTCGACCACTTTGCCGAAGTCCCCTTCCGTATTCCTTGGGGCACGATTCCAGAAGTCTTCTACATTTGGAACCGAAAGACGGATCCGACAGCAGACACTGGGTTTGTCGGATACATGCTGAGCCCTGGGTCGCTGTACGTTTGCGCAGATGGCTCTCACCGACTCGATATAGACGGGGAATTGGTGGGCACTCGTGTTTTGCGCGTCGCAGATCATCTCTTGGAGAACGTTCCGAAAATCGGAGTTGACTTGAAGGAAGGCGGCGTGTAAGGTCACTGATCTAACCCCTATCGCCATCTCTGACACTGTATAGTTTGTTTGCGTCCACTCGACTCGCATTATCAGCTACGACAGGCCGCTCAATCATGCTTGGTTTTCGGAAACGGGAGACCGGCCATAAAGGATCGGTTGTGTGAATCAGGGTTTATTATATATGCCCAGACCACCGAAAGCACTATCAAACATGTTGAGCTGGAAAAATGCCCCTTGGCAAATCCCATCTACGACGCCTCAGTTTTGTGTTGGCCAGGTGTTGTCGGCGTAATTCGAATCGATGATTGCCTGCCATAATGACAGGTCTGGAATGTGCGGAAATGCCGCACTTGGTACGGTAGACACAGAATACGCCAGACTATCGGATCTCGTTCTCCCCCTGTCGTAAAGCAGATGCAAATCGGCATCCTGCGCGGAGTTGTTTGATAGTACTTGCTTGCGTCTGCCTCTGCGTGCTGGAAGAATATCGGTGGCGACCACACCCAAAGCATTCTCAACAACCTCTCGTCGGCGTACAATCTCTGCATGCTCTGGCCGTATTCCACCACATTTGTGCAGTATGAACGTGCTAGCCGTTGTAAAGCTGTAGGTGCAATCGGCGCATGGTGGGTTCCATTCATAATCTGTTCTAATCTCTCAGATCAGGACGCAAAATGCAGAGCGACTGGCCTCATACGTATGAAGCGGTGCCGATGAAGGTCTGAAGCTTTCTTGAAGCTAGACGCGCAGCCTTCGTGTGGGCAGACTCGTCGCTCTGCGGAACCTCGACGGTTTATGTTATATTGAGCATGGATTTTGGAGCCTGTGGTGAATGGTTGCGAGTCGATGGCATCGTCAAAGGGCCCTAATGGTTGACCAAGTTCTTGTTGACGCAGATCTTGCAGCAGTGAAGCAATTTGGTCCTACAGACATTAGTAGGGACCGCGCTAGGGGTTGCGTTCTTACCTGGTGTAGTGAAACGTGCTTCCAATGTTCCTCCTTTGTTGCAATATTGGCTGAGCATACCTTACATTCGACAGGATACCCTGCCATATTGCAATAGCTTTGAGGGATCAAGGAACATGGTCCAGAAAAGCTGGAGAAAGCTCGTTTCTTGCCAGCAAAAGCTACATCTACTGCTGCCTACTGTAGATCAGCCAACCAGGAGGCACCCAATGTCCGGAGTACTCGTGGTGTATGTAACCGCCAGCGGCGCTATCAGTACGTACTAGCTATCGCTGGCCCAGTATAGCTCAACGCAAGGCTGCGCCGCCGAAACGCGCCAGATGCGCTGTAGGCCCCTGTCAGTTACAGTAGTGCCACGTCACGTCTAGGAATCTCTACGAGATGTAGGATCAGCTTGTACCCGCCGAGATGGGGCCGAAGTGGGGTATTCTTTAGCACCTCTACATGAGATGTGCCTCCATGGCGTAGTGGTGACACGTCTGGAGCTTCTGCGTCGCAGAGGGGTCGGTTCGAAGCCGGCTGGAGGCACCCCTGAGCGAACAGGGTACACCCGGGTTCCCGCCCGTCAAGAGGGAATAGCGTCATGAGAGAACACAATCGGCGTACCAACCACCATCAATGACTAACACAACCACGCTTCAACTTCGACACATCGCGCTTCAGTTGCTGGGAATAGGATGCTGAACACTTGGAGAAATTGACCTTCAAGCAGGTCTGTCATGGAGCGAACAGTGGAATGGTTGGCGCAGCGTAAGATGATCTGTGGGGCTTGGGGAGTCAAGGAACAAACGAGTTGAACTGTACTCTAGACAGTGTAAAGGCCTTATAGGGACCTCCCTCCGGGCGAAATAAATCCTACCTACCTACCTACATGAGATGTCACATAGCGCATTTATGCCCATTTGGGAGTATTGAGTCCAGAAGTTCTTCCTTTGGCTCCCAAACACAAGGCGGACAAATGCTCCTATATGTGCATAAATGCTCACAAATGCGTATATATGCTCACAGATGCGAATCTACTAGTGCGGGCACGAATAGATGGATCTCATCGTCCTGCAACGCAGCCGATGAGTCACACTTGATGCCCTGTTTCTGTAATGCTCTCAGAGGCGGTTCAAGGTGCTAGCTAGCATTCACAGCTTCCCGTGCCGAAGAGGCAACATTTTGTGCAGGCATCCAACTCATATTCATCTCAGACGTCGCTTTGTTGGCGCTTACCTATGCGTGACGCAAGTAGGTCGTATTGGTTGGATACTCGGCCAAATCTGCTGCGACGATGGTTGGCTTTGACAGGCGTGTGTGCCACTTTTTTCGCTCACGAGAATTGCCTCACGCCTGACAGTGGCAGTACGAGCTATGGCAAGTACCAGAAAGAATGTTGGGTACAATCCTGGCCGCCGTTGCCGCCTCTTCCATCTGTAATCCGTCTCTCTTCGCCGTTTCCAGAGGAGACATGTCTTTCAACCAGGCCTATGGATATATAAATCCAGTCTCTCTGCCTTCACAAACAGGTCACCTTTCTTCTCCGGCATCAGAATTCAGCATTCGAAATTGGCACACAGATCTTTATTCACGCATCAGCCTCTTATACTCTCCACCAATCAGTATCATCATCCACCACGATGGCCACCGCTGCTGTCCAGTCCGCTGTCCATCCTGCTATTATTCCAGGTCTAGGTCTCCCTCTTGAGGAGCAGGACTTGGACCTCGCCTCCCGCACGTGCGTGCCATCACTTTAGCATACTCGGAAGCTTGGGCTAATTCGCTGTCTCACATAGATACAATGCGCTCCCCCCAATCGAGGAGCAGGTCAAGCTCCAGGGCTCCGAGCATGTCAAAGCCTTGCTTGCCATCATCAACATCCATGACATGGGCAATTTCTTTGGTCTTCACTCACTCCATCGCCACAACGAGGTCCCTGAAAAGACCATTCGCCTCGAGGCTGACGTGCCTGGCGTCCCCGACATGAAGTGGAATCGGGCCACCCCCATCAATGAGGAGCTTCTCACCGAGGATAGGATGCACGCTACCTTCTTCAAGTTGGAGGGCGATACCTTGGTTGCCTTTGAGTTTGCCGAGGGCCCTTCCCCCCTTAATGGAAAGAAGGTCCCTCCCCAATTCATCGTCGATATCGTCCAGTATCTTATCATGCACAACCTCACTAAGGTGATTGCCATCGAGGTTGGGGATTTCTCCAAGGCACGCGCCATGGACACTGTGCCAACTGGCGAGCTCGAGGTGATCTGGGGCTTTACCGAAGAGGAGTTCACCGTCGTTATTCCCCTTGACCGCATTGTTGAGGGAGTCGTGGACCCTGTTCTTACAGGCTGGAACGTCAAGGACGGCTCTCAGGAGAACATGGATTCGGAGCCTCCCGCTGGTCAGAGTTGGGCAAAGGCAGTTGTCGGGACGAGGGAAACGCACAAAGTCTTCGTCAGCAAGTCTCATAACGCCCAGGCTGTCACCCCTGAGCTTCTCAAGAAGGCCCTTGTCGAGACGGGGTTGATCAAGGCTTAAGTGCTTGCTTAAACATGGGCCTTTGACGGTACAGAATTGGGATATATGCTTCCCTCCTTCTTTCAACTTACATTTCTCTTCTTATTTTGCACAAATGGGCGGACGCAACGCGGCCGTGATATGCGGGTAACTAGCCAACATGGATTGTCTCGAGTCCGGCTAAGGTAGCTAGCCAGCATGTCAGACAACTGGGTCAACCGGGTCCATCTTTGGTATCAGTCAATTGATGAGAATTATCTTAAAGAGCTCGAGCTAGATGCACGTCAATGCGTGGCTCTTTATACACAAAGGAGAGGCCTGCTTTGTGGTGCAGAATCCTTGTAAGCGAGGCTGTTGGTGATGCCTGATACAGCCTATGTTTGAGCTTTGACGGGATGGCTCCGGACAGACAGGTTCGGACAGACATATTGCAGGGATTATCGCGCTAAGCATGGGTTAAAAGCCATCGCGCCTTGACTACAACCTGAACGGGCACAAGTGCCATTTTTCAGTCTGAAGGGAAATCCACTAGTATACAATCCTGGGTAGGCCGCTGTTGCAGTTCCAACTGCGTTTCATCCTCCTTGGAAGCCTTCCGCTTCTTGCACCGCGGCTTAGGCATATCGGGTTCCTCACCCTTTCGGGCCTTTCCCGCTCTATCTGGAGACTTCCCAGTAGCAGTCGTCGCCTTCTCTATATCCTTCGTGCTCCGTGTTCGACTACGTCTCGTTTCCCGAAGAAGCTGTGGCGAAGTTGCTAAAGGAGAGGACGGGGTCGAGGAAGGGTCAGGAAGCTGATCAACTCCCTTCAGCAAATCCGAAGTGGCTCGGTCCGCTCGAGCGGCAGTATGCTCTGCGGCCTCACGGCCGGTCATGGATCGCCTTTTCGTGCTACCGTGCGATTTGAACCTCTTCAAGCCAGGCGAATGCAGTGCTTCCGGCAATTCCGGAGGCAGGAGGGCTCTTGACTGTACCTGCGCCTGGAAATCTGCTATTAGACGGTCATTCTGTAGGCGAAAGAGTCTCGAGAACTCCTCTGCCTGCTGTCCGCCGAGGCTCCTGTACTTGAACGACCTCCAATCCCGATTGAAGAACCATGTTCCTACCGCCATCTTGGTAACGATCCTGGATTTTTGTGACCTCGGGAGCTGGCTGCTTTGCATAAGACATGGTCCAGCTGCGTACCACCGCAGGTCCGTCGAGTAACCAGCGTGGATGAAGGACATTGAGTGGGACAGGCCAGGACCTGACAACAGCCTCGTACAGCCAGTGTCGACAGGGCAGGCCGTATCTGAGTGGGAACTCACACGCGAAGGGACATCCAGGTTCGTTGAGAAGGCCCAATACCTTACCGCTCCTTCTCGAGCTCAGTGTTTTGCCTCCATCTTAGAGCTTTTGCTGCCTCCCACTCCGGAGCTAGCTTGCTCAGAACGTAGTGTGGAACCTTCCCGATAAGAAGGCGGAAAGCAGCTCGGTCCAACAGCCTTGGGACGTCAGCCCTGCTCCGATCCTCGTCTTCAGTGATTTTTTGAGTTAATTTCTTCAAGCTTTCGGCCAGTTTTTGACAGGATGCCTGCAGGGAAGCTGCCTGTTGAGAGACTGTTTGACCACGACATGGTAGCTTTCGTTCCTCTGCGTGCTGTTACATCCGAGGTTCGGGTACTGTCGTGTGTGCTCGGACAAATTGGCGCTCTTTCGGTTGCCAATTATTCTTGAGATAAAGGCGTTCCGGCTCCCGAATTTCTGCGAGCAGCTCGCCTCGCCGTTCTTCAAGTCGCGCCTCATCGGGAGCTTGTATGTAATCCCAAACAAACCGAAGTAGCTCTTCCCTTCGTTCCTTCGTATATTTGCCCGAGTCTAACAATCGCTTCTTGAAGTTCTCTGCGGCATGCCATTCACAGAGCTGCAATATTTGCCCATCTTCACCCTGAGGATCAGCTCGCTTGGGACGCCGCCATCGCGGCAGCGAGCCCTTTGGTTTGATCCCCGAGAACGACTTGAGGTGGTGGGCAATCGTACCAGACCAGTTTTGCCAATTGAGCATTCACAAATTCGAAGGCTTCAGCTGATTCAGATGTTATAAAGGCGAAAGCCAGAGGAAATGTCTTGCCTGTGTTTGTGATTCCCGCTATGACAGATAAAGGCAGGTGGAGGCAATTGGTGTTGAACGTCGCATCGGTTTGCATGAGGAATCCGCTGACGAATCTTCTACCCAGGCGGATCTGGTCGGAAGAACAGAAGAACAGGTGCTCGAGTACTCGCGCTGTCCGTCGTCCTTGGTCGTCAAGAAGGTATTTGAAGAAGCAACGAACACGGAAGTCCTCGAACTCCAAACAAGTGAGCAAGACGTCAAGCGCTTCTTGACTGCTGCGTCTCCTTCAGACCGGCTCAGGTTGTAGAACTCCTTTGCAGAAAGACAGTTGCCTAAGCCGTGTTGGTCGAGAATCCGGGTTGATTCAGTTGCTGACAGGCCGGCAGTCCGATGCGCGAGGGCCAGATCGACTGCCGCAGCCCGCTCTGGGATACGGGATCTATGGCAGGCGTAGTGGAAGGGATTTTGAAGTGGCGGATGCGTATGGTACGCGTAAGTGAAACCGACCACCCAGCCTTTTCGCTCTTCTATCCTCCGCGGCCGCTCCGGATAGTTTTGTAGGAGACATAAAGACTATAAGGACACTCCTTGGCCTTGGTGTACGTAAGCTCCTTCTTTCGGTCCCCTCCCTCTGTGACGATGTCCGGCAGCTTTCGAGTATTTCGGGTACCTCTACCGTGATGGATACAATTCACTCGCAGGCGGTCGCGTACCTTGCTGGCAGTGACCAGAGCGAAACCCTGGGTGAATGCATAGTTTTGGAACCAGTGAAGGGCTTCCTCGGGGCTGTTCACTTCGTCACCGGTAACAGGAGCGCGGAGATGCTCTTGCGGTAGGGCTTCTACAGCTTTGTCGAAGCCGGAGCGGACATCATCGGGGAGGCTGTCGCGGTACTGGATCTCCATCGCGTTCGCGTTCGCGTCGGACGAGATGCTGGATCTCCATTGAACCTGAACAACGCGATTCTTATTGCGACGCGCACCCTAGCAAGGGGCGATGAACGATTATTCCCGTTCAGGTTGTAGTCAAGGCGCGATGGCTTTTAACCCATGCTTAGCGCGATAATCCCTGCAATATGTCTGTCCGAACCTGTCTGTCCGGAGCCATCCCGGAGCTTTGACCTCAACGAGGGTTCAAAACACACGTATGCAAGTGCTCGACCTTAACATGCGTGTTATAGCTTCGGAATTCCGTACGCAACCACGCTGAGTATGTAGGTGTCAAAGGGAGCAGACTGACGGTCAAACCCACGCACGCATAAAAGCCCTAGTGAAAGAGGCAGGTCACACACAGAGACTTGAGTCCGGGTATCGATGCAATGGAGGAACATTGCCCTAATCAGGATACGCGGGAATTGGCCCTGATTCAGGGCCTCCACGGGTCCCAGAGAGGTATCTATTCGTATAAATACCCCCTCAATGTCGCACAGATAGATAGAGAACATGCATCATCGTTTGGACTCAATTGTGACTGCCCTTATCCTTCCGCCCGCGCTCTCAGCTTGCTGAGAGTAGGGTATGCGACGTGACCCTGGATCTTTGTGCGACACAGCAGTTTCGACCACGCAACAATGGAAAATTATACGTCCTGCCACTGCTTGCTTTGCGCCATTTCATCACAAGTCTCTCTCCTTCCTCACGCCAGCATGGCTCCACAGTAGGCATTCGATATGCATTTGATTTTGGCTGCTGTCTTGGACAGTGCATTGCGTGACCGGGCTGATGCGGGGAGGCGAAGCTGTCGCCCTGGCTCCCCTTCTTTTCCTTTTTAGTGACAATGAGCCAGTAGTGCAAGATAGACGAGATGAAATGAAGGCGACTCAAAAACTTGACATGCAAATGTCTACGACGTTGTCTGGATCTAGTGGTGCGCTCTCTTAGCATGTGCCATGTTGGAGACGGCTAGGCGCAAATAAGCAGCACCGCGCCTCGAAAGCTGTGCACTGAAAGAACCCAGCTGACTTGCCAAGTGTGTAAGAAATTTCTCAGTGGTGGCCAGGCGGCGCAACCATGTTTGGTGGGCCGTACCCTGCTCAGCATTAGTCAGGGGCAAAGGTGTCGTGCCGACGCTCACCGCCTCAACCCCGCCTCCTTTCCCATTCTGCCTCATGGCATTTGGATCGATCGCGAATGCCCGCCCTCCAATGGTCCCTCTCCATCTCCTAATCGACAATCTCACGCTGGAACGACCGAACACCCAAGCCGACGATCGCGAGTGAAAAACTGTCAAACATCTATGCAATGGCACTGGATATGTCAGCACTGTCTCAGATGCAGATAAAGGAGTTTTTCCAGAGAAACGCTCCTGTCACGCAAACGCAATGCAATGATAAAGCCAAAAGCATTACAGGCAAGTCCATCACTCCAACAGCTTGCCAAGGCGGAACCAGCTACACCGTCAGTGCGGAACAAGTCGTCGTCCAGTTCCGCGTTCCAGGCTCCTTTCTAGACATGGCCTTGATGAAAAGTGTTGAGCAAGCCTACCGAGGCTTCACGCCACAGCATGAGGATCATGGTTCGTTTGGTAACCTGCATGTCTACACCATGAACAACATCGGGGGCATATCCATGTATCTTGCCCGAACCTTCTTACAAAAGAACAACTACAAGCTCCTACGAAACACCATCGACAGTTACGCAAGGTTCGTCGACACCAGCGCACCCTCGGCGGCTTCGGCCTCTTTTTGTCGCTGACTATGCCCTTTGTGACTTAAGGAAGCATAGCTATGACTGACTTCAACTGGGATAGATTCTTCGCGTCGGCGTATCATAACACTCCCGGGCCGATGGGTAGGCCAGATCGCGGGCTGCTTCTTCAAAGTTACACGTGGCAGCTCCAACGGCTGCGTGAAGGGCTTCCCGAGCGCTTTTACGCAACACTAGACACTCTGATCCCCCAACTCCCAAGTATCTTTGATCAGGACTGGCCGCTGGTGCCTAATCACACCGACCTCCTTGAGAATAACATCCACGTAGATCCGGGTACGGGCGCCATCGTGGGCATCTGTGACTGGAGGGACGCCGAAATCAGTCCCTTTGGCATGTCACTAGGGGGCCTCGAGACAATGCTTGGGGTCCGGACGATGAATGAGCACGGTTGGAGCTACTTCCCTAATCATAATGAGCTCCGAGAGCATTTTTGGACGACATTCTACCAGAACCTGGGAGCGACGTCCGAAGCACAGCAGCAGCGCATCGAGGTTGCGAGGTTGACTGGCCTGTTCCTGGCAAACGGCTTCGTACAGGACCAATATGGGAATATGCACCCTGCTACAGAGGAGAGCTTGGACTTGCGATATCTCGGTGCTGTTGTTCTCGCCTGATGTTTTGGATCTTGATATCGCGATTTTAGGACGTTGAATGCAACGAGAGGTAGCCAGTGGTGTCTAGACTGCAGGGAGGTTTGCAGAACTTTAGAGCTCTGTTGCTGAGATTGTCTGAGCCTCTCTAAAGTCTTTGATGTGAGGGTCCAAGGAACAAGCAATCATCGAGTGTGGTGGCGGTGTAGTTGTAAGGGGGAGTGGGCACATGCTCCCAGATGTTTCCAAGCTTTGGTTTGTAGCCCTGTCCGTTCCCGTAGCGTCGCTCTCAATCCCGATGTATTTGAGGCGCTTTTCGTCTTCAAATGGGTCCCACTCTGATGCGTTTTTGCGTGTCCCTACGCATACTAGGGCGTTGGGCACGGCACCAAGCATCAAGGACACCGGCTGCCGCACGCACAGCCATGTGAACAGGCAGCCGTGTGAACAGGCAGCCGTGTGAACAGGCAGCCGTGTGAACAGGCAGCCGTGTGAACAGGCATCCGTGTGAACAGGCATCCGTATGTGGCTGCCTTGTAAACCGGCCGGATCACCTAGATAGTCCGACCTGACTGCCTCCTACATAAGGATGAGGCAGTCATAGCTTAGTTGGAGAGATAATCTTCCCACTTCATCTCTGTCGAGAAGAAGGTCCGAACGAGTTGAGGTCTCTAGGTCTCTCTAGGTAATACAGCTTGAAACCAGGTAAGAAGGGAAGTCTGCAGACTGTTCTTTCTTCTTCCTGGACCACTGAGGGGTCCGGAGGATGTCCTATTCGAACGGGGACCCTTTGAGGAGTCCGGCATAGGTAGCTATTACTGGCTCGGGGACCTCGAGAGACTGAACTATCGATCTCATAGCTAGCAGAGCCATGAGATCGGGGAGATGGAGCTGATGTTGCTGACGTAGATGACTTACGTGGCCTTCAGTAAGTGGCAAGAAGTGCCCTCTTCCTGATAGAATGTATACTATACCTGAAAACGGGATATCAACTTGGGAGAAGCCCGGAGGGATATAAAAGGGGCTGTTTGGACGGGAAAGGAGGCAACCGGGGAGAGAGCAATTAACACAATATCTGATCGTACGATACTCGACCTTCAAAAAGGTCCCTTTATCCACGTTTATGCCCACTTTTGCTCTCTCCTTCGCGAGATCATATGACTACCGGTACTGTTCAATGGCGGCTCTGGTGTATCCGCGTCGGGCATGTCATCATCTGACTCACAGTCAGGATGGCCCGGGGGGGCGCAGACAATTGTATCTTCGCCAGTCGGAAGAGGGGACGAAGGAGCCGGAGCTGTGCTAGGATCAGAGCGCGCGCGCGCGGGATTCTGAGGGTTGAATTGAGGACGTTCGATGCGGGCATAGTTCTGCGTTGGCAATTTACGCCGGGTCCTAGGAGCAAAGAAACTTGCTGCGGCAGATGTTTTCGATTCAGCAAGGGCCATACTATGTATCATGTTATAATTAGCTATCCACTCGTAAAGTGATTAAATAAGAGGGGGAGGTTGGAGGGTCATGAAGTTTTACCCGGTCTTGGCTAAAGGGCTCGAGAATACCAAATAAACCACAATAGAGTATAAAGGAGTCGAGGTTGAACGGGTAGGATAGGTCGTCGGGCAGGGCGTTGATTCGGGGGCCGACCCGAAGCCGCTGTCGGAAATATCGAAGCAGGAATTAGGCCGGGACAAAGTGATTGTCTACAAGGAGAGAAAGGGGAAAGAAAGAGCTTCGTAAGGAAGGCTCTCACTTTGGCTAGTTGTACATTTTCATAAGTGAGACATGCATAATCTTCCTTCACACGCTCCTCTTCTTCCCGCCGTCGCTTGGCCCGCTCATCTTCCTTTGCTCTCTGTTTCTTGACTCGCTCCTCTTCCTTTTCTCGCCGTAGCTTGAACCATTCCTCGTTCTCTTGTCGCCGTCGCTCGGCCCGCTCTTCTTCTTCTTGTCGTCGCTTGGCCCGCTCCTCGTCCTTCTCTCGCCGGCGCTTGGTCCTCTCCTCTTCCTCCACTCTCCGTCGCTTAACCCGCTCTTCTTCATCCTCTCTCCGTCGCTTTATCCTAGCCGTGCCCTCTGCAACCGATAGAGTACCGCCGTCGCCAATGTATTCACGGCGCTTTTCTTTTCTCTGCTTTCGCCGCTGGTTTTCTGACCGAAGTTGCCGGTTTTCGTCGGCAAGGAGGGCGGCGCCATGCATGGCCATTTGACATCCTTTGATAAGCTGGTTGATAGATTGTGAGACTGGCGAGTCTGGATTTTGTGGCCGGCGTTGAAGAAGGCTTTCGGCGTGAGTGATAAGCTGGTTGACGTTATACGGAGTCTTGGCTGCTTCCAGGCTCTTGTTGGGGCTTGGGGTATTCTTGTCGCCGTGATCGTTACCAACTTTGTCAACCTGAACTTGTAACCGCGATAATACCTTGTTTGGGTCGAACGGAAAGAGGCCTGTTGCCATAAATCCGCTTCGGATATTCGACGGCGAAAGTGCTTGTCGGCGAGCCTCTAAGTATATAGGAAGGAAGTCCTGCTTGTCGATATGATGGATCCCAGCGAGCATTTTCTCTTGAACCTTCCGGCCATATATTGTTTTCAACGGCGAAAAGCACCCGACATCAAGGGGCTGCAAGATATGTGAGGAATGTGCAGGCATTTGGAGTACCACAATGGAATTGGCCGTACAGTACTTGTCAAATTCCGGCGTGACGTGGCTACCGTGCGGCCGTGCCCGTCGAGAATAAGAAGTCGATGCGTACCAACCGTACGGCGCCGTGTATTCGGATCAAAGACTTCCTTTAGCCAATTCAAAGCAAGGTCGTCGGAAGTCCAGCCGTTCTCACTAACGGCGATATGCCAGTCATCGGGCACTCCTGATTCGTACCAGCTTGCTTGGTGTAACTTGCCCTGGAAGATAACCTTCGCCGGTAAAGCCCAACCTTGGCAATTGATAGACTCGATCACAGTAACCCATTCGCGATTTCCAGGCTGCGTGAGTATTGCCCGACCTCGCCGGTCAGACCGGGTAAGGACTCTCGCCGTTGCGGCGACTCCCATTTGAAACCCCGTCTCATCAAAGTTATAGACATCCTCGTCAAGAATCCCCCATGTCTGTTTCGTCGCCGCGACTCGATCGTACCATCCTTGGATCTTTTGGGGGTCTTCGCATTTGGCGCGTTGATAATCGTATCGGCGAGAGTACTTTGCCTTGATTTCGCCGTGGCGGCCAACAAACTTCCGCACCCAGTTCTCCCCGACAGGATCTTTGCCTCGCTCGGAAAGCAATAAGTTGGCCATCCGACGAGTGTAAGCCACTGTCGGCGGCATTCCTCGCTCGTCCATCGACAAGATCCATTGTACCAGGGCAGTCTCTTCCGTCGCCGTCAACTTTAGGTTGTTCACCTGAGCGTCGCGTCGGCGAATGACACCGCGCAGTCGATCAGATACTGTCGATTGAGGGACGTCGTATGCGGCCGCTGCCTTGCGGGTACTTTCGAATTGGCCCTGCTGATAGGCCCTGACGGCGAGCAGGACCCGTTCTTCGCGTGGAACCAATTGGTCTCCCGTCGCCGTCATTGTGCTCGGTTTGTCTTGCCATAAGTGTGGGTCGCGGCGGTGGGGAATTTTCTGACCGAGTAGGGGGTCTGACCGGGAAGGGGGTGGATTACGTTAGTGACTCCTCTCCGCCCACGGACGACCAATGGTCTGAGCTCGCTGAGGTAAAGGGTGTCACGCGCGCAATCACGTGACATCGCTACTTTTGTCCTTAGTGCCGGCTAGGGACAGTTAGAAGCACCCTTCCACCCACTCGTCCCTTACCGTTTCTACCCCAGACGCATGCGGGGCTGCCTCCCATAAACCCGGAAATAACGTGGGTCCGGACAGGCGATCTCTCAAAGCTTTTCAAGCTCTAGGGCTGATAGGGAGAGCTGCGAGGTCACTTGCCTTTACGCTCTGTCGCGGAGCCATTATTGCCCTTCGCCTTGGCCCCCCTTCTCCCCCCTTCTTCTCATCACTGATAACGTATTCTAGGATGGCGCCCGGCGTCGATTGCATCTTCCAAATCACCTCAAACAAGCGTCGCCTTTTAAGATACAAGGAGGGTGGCGATTTTATTGTCGACAGCGAGGCCATAAGCTTCGGGACTGACCCGTACCATGAATCGATGGCCGACAACGCCGATACGCATAGGGACTGCACGCCTTCGCCACAGTTTGTCTGCCGGGATCTCCTCCGCATCATCATCGGCTCTAGGCCAATGGATGCACATCTTCGCTAGGTCTTTGGCAGGAATCGTCTCGCCTGTGATCTCCTGCTCGACGGTTCTAAGCGGTTCGCCGTCCGGATGTGAAAGAGCCAGGGTGTTTCTCATCGTCAATCTCGGCCGGCACGGCACTCATGAGGTCCGCAGACCCTGCCTTGACTCTGGTCAAGTCGTAGCGAGCTTTCGGGGCCAGCGTAGGCAGGACTTAGGTACTACCTTAAAGGTGGAACGGACCAATGGCATCACAGGAACACCAGTCCAGTCAGATAATCTCAGACCACTCAAACCGACCGACTGCTCCGGCCGGTCGGTCTGTCTGTTAGCCACACCGTCAGAATGGCTTGGTCAGAACACGATACTCAACATAGTCCTCGCCGTCAATATGAACGATAGTGCCCGCCGACACGAACTTTCCGTAAATGGCCCGGTCGACTTCCGCCCATACTTGACGCCGTCGTGCATCTTGGCGTCCTCGGCATAGGCTTTCATGCGAAACGACTCCTTGCGAGCCCAGACCTTGTTGACGTGCTGCGTATCCTCTGACTCGTGAAGAAGCGTCCGTCCGTTGATGGCTGAAGCGGGAGCCGCTATCGCAACAGCATTGTTAGCCGCGGCGAAGAAAGCACGTTCTCGGGTTAGAGCAAGGCGGTCGGCGCCATCCTGGGCCGCCTCAGCTCTGGCTAGCTCGCGACGCGCTAAGGCGCTGGTGCGTTCTATGACGTGGAGCCTCTGACGAAGCTGAGCCGAGCTCAGCTCGTTCTCGTTGAGCAATTGACGCGGCGCCCGTCTGTCCGCTCGCGGATCGATTCGCCGCGACTGGCCAGGCTCACCGCCGCCATAGCTTGTTCTCGGGCTGGTCCGATCCATGTCCACGTTGGCAGGACGGGTGATGCTGAAAGTCGGCATAGCGACACTGGTCTGTTTAATGGGGGTTCTGGCTCGGGTCTTGGCCTCATACACGGCCCTTGTTTCGTTTTCGATCCGCTTCCTATCAATTTCGCCGTGATCCAGCTGGTACTGCCGAATGCGGCAGTACTCCTGACTTCCTGTTTGTTGAGAGCCTTGAGGTGGTTCTCAAAGCCTACCTCCTCGTACGGAATCCAGAGCCCCAGCTCCCGAGGGGGAAGTTTCCATCCACGAAGCGGCCGTCTCTCGTCTCTCGTACCACCTTGACTCAGAACTTGTTGTCGTGGTCAAGTATTCCATAGACGGCATGCCGATCCCTTGGATCGGGCTCGCTGGATTGCTTCCAGTATCCTAGAAGGATTCGTGTCGGGCGGGTGCCAGGCAGAGGGTCGGTGGGAAAGCGGGTTTGATGAACGGCCATGGGCTGAGTGGACGCTGGCTGAGAAATCTCCATCTTGCTCTCACTCAGGTCGTTATACAAGCAGGCGCGCTTGCGCTTGGGGTAGTGAGAGACAGCCTGCCGTGATGACTCGTCGCCGACCATAGCGGCTGCGGTAGCGTCCGCTCCTGCTCCTGCGGCCAAGGACAACTCTCGAAAGCCTGCGGCTGGCGATGGCGCCGTCGCGGCCGCTGGCTCGTGGCCGCCGGCAGCGGAGGCAGCTGATGAAGACTTGGGCACTGTCGGCGCGACCTGCGGCTTGCTGTACTTCTCAGTGGCAGACTCCTCCATTGCGCAGGGCTGGACAAAAGGCGAAGGGGTCCGACGGCGAAGTGTCCTCTCTACTTTGGGTTCGTTAATGAACAGCCAATCTGGTGCTTTCTTGCTTTCCCAGCCGACAGGGGCATAAGAGTTCAGAGGCGAGTCGCTCCGCGCCGCGGATGTCCCCTTCCTGCAAGGGTGAAATGAGTTCTGTTCTCGGTGTGTGGGCAGAACCCGCTCACCGCCCGGCATCTGACGTTGGTTGGCCGGCCTCGCAAAATTTTGCATGTGGGCGGTCTTCCTCTACGCATTGTGTGACAGCTTCTCGTGATATCTCTGCCGCTACCGCCGCCTACGCCGCTATGGAGTCAGTGTGTACTGCCGAGAATTTAACACTGAAAAGGACCCTGAAGACGCCTGCCACGCTACTGGCAAGGCACAAGGGTACTTACCCTGATAATACTTGATATGCGATAGAACGGCTACCACGTCGACCCCTTCAGGGTCGAAGACTCGGAGGATCCGCCTCGAGCCCGGGGCGAGGGTAAAGCGGACGTCGTACTCACCCGCCTGCAAGAGGTCAATGAACGCATGCAAGCAGTGATGGCTGCCTCGCAGCAACGGACAAGAGGAGGGAGCAAACGCGAAGCGACGACGTGTAATATCTTTTCGCTGCGGTACGACAATGACTGAGCGTGCTGCCAGGCAGGCGACGCAGAGGCGGGAATGCAGGTCCGGTTTGGCCTATCAACCTCTTATTCTGCGGCGGGCAGAGAGTGGGCAACACGGCTGACGCTGAACAAAACGCAGTCGATCGCTTTCTCAATTATATGCCGCCAGCTCGATTTGATGGGACAAAATGACGGAGGCGATGTCGGCCAGCTCTGCCAGTTCGTCAGCGGCGAGGGCGGGACCGGCAAGTCGCGAATCATCGAGGCACTCGTCGAGTTGTTCAGTAGGAGGAGCCTTTCGAATCGTTGCTGATCATGGCGACGTCAGGGATTGCCGCAGTCCGGATCAACAGTATCACAATCCATTCCACATGCGGGTTCTCCAAAGACCAAGGGGCGGCCGCGAACACGGCGAGAGATCTCGACGAGGTGCGACTGCCAAGCAAGCGGATCGGTTCGTCCATGGCCAGTTTCGGATGCATTGGCAGAAGAAAGACGCGCTGATTATACCATGCGCTATCTTCGTCAGAACGTGTTTCCATGTCATACCGGTGCGCTGGTCTGTGAGCGGGGAAACGTTGCAACCCCGCGGTAGAGTGATGGTGAAGTCAAGACGTTCGTGGAGGGCTGGCATTACCAGATTACCAACTGTTGTAGAGACAAGTTGCGGGGAACGGGTTGAGCGAGGAAACTCGGGGTGTCGCTCCTAGACCCTTCCGCTGCTGCCTGGTTGGGGCAGCAATGCTACTCGGCGCCAGCTCACTTTCTGGCTGCAGTGAAGACGATATTGCTTATTAAGAAGGGGTTGCAGTCCTTACAGCTCAGTACTACCAGCAGCGAGAAGTGAAGGTGCTGTCAGTCGCCCAAGACGAGGACTTGCAGGACTGTTGTGAAGCCAGAATCGGCCGCAGGTACGTAACGGGAACCCAGGCACCATGGGCGAAGGGTCTAGGAGCGACACCCCGCGTTTTTGTGCCCAACCTTCTCCCCCGAACTTCTCTTGTGCGACAGCTGGTAATTTGACACGTTAAAAGGCTCGTACTGTACTGTATGTACATACCGGGGTTCATGCAGAAAGACTGGCATCCATCACAATGGTGGCTGCAGTTCGATGCAGGCAAACATTCGCTAATGCACAGGGAGAGGATGTGGCGGGGCTACGATCTGCAGCTGCAATGCCGTCCAAATGACTCACACCACCGTGCCGGGGACAGTCAGAAGCACCCACTTGCAGCAACGCACATCCACCTTGCGGTCACCACCTCGCATTGAGAACCAACTGCAGTATTAGGAGCAACACGGAACTATGGGTGATTATGTACATGTACCCAAAAGTAGAGCTGCTGAAATGCATCTCGAAGCGGACGCTGTCTGGCAATGTAGATTCTGGCTCCTGGTCACTTTATCACCAACGACTCCGAGACCCCGCGTCGCCCAGCTTCCCTTCCTTCCTCCTCTCTCCTGTTGTACTTCATAGTACCTCGATACCATCATATCTACATTGCCTCCCCCACTCTTCCCCTCTGCGTACACCGATACTGCCATCAGGTCTCGATCCGGCAGCCGCAGGAGTGGCGCCGTCAAATCCGCTGAATGCGTTGCCACCTGCTCCGCCTGAAGGTCACATCGCATCCAGAGCATGCTCCGGATCGGCCAGCCTGTCTCGTGCGTCGTCGGCGGTAACATTTTCACCTCGTCGCTGGGGCTTATTGGGCTCGTAACAACTTTGATGTCATCGCTCTGCGAGCTGCCACGCTGCAGCCACATTGTGCTTCCACTTCCAATAGCACTTGTTCTGCAAGACATTGTGCTGCAGCCAGGCCCCACATCCTTTTCATGATGCACGCTCGTGCTGCAGGATGATAGTTAGGTGGGCAGTGAATGCCCTACAGGGGCGGGACACCTCCGATTGGCCTTAGAGGCCGGTTGTTGGTTCTTGGTTTGTTGCAGCCCTGTAACTAGTACTGTAACGGAGTCATACGCATACACGAGGCGCATGGTTCCCTTTTCGGCGAAGACTGCGTCTACATGGGAGCATGTCGTATTTTGAACTAGAACCGGGCGACAGTCGTGAGCCCTGAATTAAGTCACGTCAGGTTGGCGCATGGCGCTAATTACCCCGGTCAACCCGCCGACCAAGGTTCCCGTTGGGGGGCTCCAGCGCAAGCAGAGCGAATTTTCCGCCTGTTCTCGCCATCTTTGCAGCCACGTAGCGCACCCGCAACAACGTGCGCGCGGCTGCACTTCCGTGGGCAGGGGACGGCGGTCGAGGCGATTTTCATGGTATGGGTGTTTCGGATTTCAGTGGCCGTTTCGAAAATTTGGCCAGAAAGTCAAAGAATTGTTTTTTGCACGTATTCGCCTTGTTCTGTGCTGAGCCAGTTAAGAAGCGGCAAATCATGGTACCCCTGGCGCACGAACTCCACTGATTGGCGCACTGGCGTTCCCGCTTATTGTCGTAAGGCAGAATTTCGGTAATATAGCATGTTGTTGGAACGCGAGCAGGAAGGGCGGAGTAGGTCACCTGCCAGGTCACGTGGGGCATTCGGCTGAGATGAACCAATCAAGTATGGCAAAGAAGCTCTAGGCACCGCCTCGCAGATCATAAAACGAGCGATCACCCCACAACTATTTGTTACACCTTCCTGCGATCTTCCTACACGCTCTTCACCGTGGGGCTTAAGGTGTTACGCATTAATGTATTGAAATGTCAGTAGCTTTTACGCCTAGGCCCTATAGGAGAAATCCTCCGTGTGAAATACACATACATACATACATACACGCTCTTCATGCCTGAGGCCGTCCACCGCGATGGCCGAGCCGGTAGGACTGGCTTCCGGGCTATTGGCCCTGGCTACGTTCGCCTTCCAATCCAGCATTACGCTTTACAGCACTGTCCAGAGTTTTCGAGACCATCCCAAACGTGTGCGCGATCTCATTGACGAGCTTGAAGCTTTGAGCGGAGTCTTAGGCCCAGTGTTGCTAATAATATAAACAATACGTATATTGGCAATATGGACCCCTCGCAATATTATTGTACTGTCAAGAGGTGCGTATTGTATTGCGCAATATGGCATTGGTCCATATTGTATTGTATTGCCAGTGACCCAATATATTGCCAGTAAAACAATATATCCCGTATATCCCACGTGACCCTCATTATTCAACCGTCGTTGCTGAAATATCGTCACCCTGAAAATCCTGTATCCCAAACCATGACTTCAAGCACTCCAATGCCTGAATTACATCACTCCCAAGTCGATTTCGACGGTCTGTGATGGTTATTTTTGCCCCAGAGAAGAGTCTTTCGGGCTCAGCAGACATTGCGGGAATTGACAGTATATCCACCGCCATTTTGCTCAGGTATGGGTAGTTCTTTTGCTGTGTTTCCTCCAGCCACCATGCGAGGGCGCTTGTGAACCCATAAACCCGTTCAGACTTACAATATCGCTCGTACTCGTCTGTGATAAGTGCTGGTTGTAGGTGCTTGTTTCTCCAATTCAAGAACTCGTTCGTGGTCGTCAACGGAACCTCAGATAGAGAAGGCGGCTCCACAGGTTTATAATCATCCCACAGTGTCTCCATCAGCTTCTTTGACGAGTCAGCCCACTCCTTCTTCCAGTTTTCGTGTATGTAGTGCCATTTATGCGAAGGGTGAAGCACAATCGCAGCGACGTAGGCAGGCGATTCGTCAGTAAGACAATAGTACTTATCCATCTTCGCCCAGCCCGAGTTATACATTGGTGCCATAATCGGATCGTCGATATGTGCCTCTTTTCCTGCTTCAAATTGCGCCAATACGAAGTCCATAGCCAAGAGAACATTGTCAAGAGTTGCAAACGATGACTCAAGGGCCTTGTCGTCATTTTAAGCTTCTCCAAGAAAGACTTGATCTTCTCGAGGATGACCCACTCCTCGGGAGAGAGCTCGTCTCCGGCACAATCTCCTTCCAGCCATTTGTTGAATATCCTCGACTGCGCCTCTAAGATGCAAGGCCGCTCGTAGCATGGTGTACCACGAACTCCACCTCGTGTCATTATCTCGCGCAAGCTTGCGATTATGGCTGATGGCCAGAAACTTTTGGCGACGCTGAACACTACTTTGGACGAAAACCACGAAGTTGTGGAGCTTGCCAAGGGGACCCTTTTTCCGCCACGCCTCGATCTCTTTAGTGTCACATTATGCCCATCACGTTCGTCGTCTTTGAGCTTCTCATTATCGGTAACGAAGAGGAAAGCTTTGGCGGCAAGGTTGATAATGTGACCTTGGCAGCGGAGTCGGTGAGATTTGGGATCGTATCGAATGTCATATCGACGTAGAAGGCCTGTAGATGTTAGGGCCAGTCAGAAAAACAGTGCGCCGTACTTACCAAGGGAAAGAGATCTCATCATTGTATCGTTATTGCCTGCATTGTCCATCACAAAATATCCAAGGTTGGAAGCAAACCCCAGTCATCAACCACTTCCAAAATTGCCCTTGCCAGGTGATATCCGTCGTGCTCACTGTCGATGTCTTTCAAAGCCAAGACATGGTGTTCCAACTGACTGTCTTCTGCAACGTAATGAGCAACTACGCCTAAGATGGCCAAAGAGTTGGGGGAAGTCCATAGGTCGCAGCTGATATGAATTTTTGACTTTGCTGACTGGATGCGCTGCTTGACCTTCTCCTTCTGACCTTCGTACTGCCGCATAATCCATTTCTTGATGGTCTCGTGTGTATCTGGAAGCCAAGTATCGATATCGGCGTTGAGGTAGGCTAAGAATGCTCGGAATTCTGGGCATTCCACAAGCCTAAATGGGAGAGAACAGGACGTAATAAACCTTACGTATAAAGCTTCGAGCTGGTCTGGGTCGATCGAGTCTCCGGATTGATCGTTGAGCCGACGGCGTTTTCGGGGATGTTCTTTGGCCATAACACGAGCTATCTCGAGAATAGTTCGTATATTCGTGACTTTGGCTGTTCGTGGCGCGCCTTTTGGGAGGCCGTGACCGTCAGGAGGAGGATCCGTAAGGTGCTTGGCTGGGGCCGCAGTTCCACCGGAACAGCAATACGTTTTGTCACAGTGTTTGCAGCGCCATTCTTCTTTTCCGGTCCGCTGATTGTAGTATTTCGTCTCTATGTCCTCGTCTGGCATATGAGAAAAGACCCATGATGTTCTTGGCTTGGCCGAAGGGTTTATGGAGGCCGTGCGAGGTTGCGACGATTGGCATTCAGTGGTTTGGGTCTCATCTGGATCATGCAACCGTGGGCTGGAAATCTCCGAGTATTCGTCTGATATTGACGAATCCCGTCGCGGCGATGTTTGAACAAAAGGCAGGCGTTGTTGAGGCATCGAGATTGCTTGTAAGTCCTGGGGTGGGAAAGGGTTGAGGAGGAAAACAGTGTTTGGACGGCGAGCCGCTACCCTGTAGGTCTGGATTTATACATACATTTACGCGTTTCCGTGCGCCAATAGGAAGATTTTACGTCCTGGAGGTCCGCCAGACGAAAAACAATACATAGAACATGCTTATATTTACGCGTGTATTTTGACGCGTCATCATATTGGCGCGAATTGGGGAACGGAAAGGCGAATGACCACCAACCAATACAAACAATACAAGCCATATATTGCCAGTATGGAAGGCGCCATATTGTATCGTCACAATATGACGGCGAGCATATTGTATTGGTACAATATGAGAAATCGCGTATTGTATTGTATATACTGCAGTATACTACTTTATTGTCATATTATTAGCAACACTGAGGCCCACTTACGGAGACGGTCAGTGCCGTCCATACTGTCGACCTCTCAGCGCTCGATCGACCGTTGCTGCGATGCGGCCATGCCTGTGCAGAGTTCAATCAGGAACTCATGAAATGCGTGTCGCAGTCCGGGGGGACTCAGACGACCTTTCGGGGGTGGGCTAAACTCAAGTACATGGGTGATGATATCGACGGATTTAGGCGGTTGTTATCCGGCTACAAGTCGACAATCACTATTGCCCTCACTGACGCCAATCTGTACGTTTCACGGTCTGCAAGCCACCACCCTCCATAAAATAAACCATTCAGTAACAACTCTAATGTTTATGCTGTGAATGTAGCCGCGTATGCTCTGCCACCGCCGAGACCATTCGAAGCTACAAAGACCTTGTCGAGACAGCGCACAGTGACCTCGGGCTCACCTCGAAAGTATCGACGAGAAAATAGGTGTCTTTCTCGCAGACGCCATATCGGAGACCGGCTCAGGCGCGCCAGAATTGCAAACCATGCAGGAAGAGCGATTGAGCACGCAGCGATGCCTTGAAATTTGTGACCAACTGTCGAAGCATATCGATGAATTTCAGCTGGCCACCAAACGCAGTGGAAGCTCGTCCGAAAATGAAGAGCCAGCTACGTTCCCCGAAAAGGTCGTCAATGAGGGTCTGAATGGGTGCAGGAAGACCCTTGACAACACAGTCGTGAAACTGGGACAACACGAGAAGGATTTGTTCGATCGCTTGATGGGGAAAATAAAGAAAGTGCCTGCTTCTGAGGGGATACTTCCGAGATTGCGAGGCTGCGTGAAGAATGGGAAAACGCGCGCCAAAGCTTGAGCATTTGTTCTGAAGCAAACAAGCGCTTAAAGGAAAACATTAGCGTTATTGACAACTACGCTACAGGCGACGCCATGCAGTTCATGGTTTCGACTGACGGAAAGACGATTCACGGACAAAACAAGGGACTTGGATGGAGGAGCAGGCAAGTAGGGGGTCACCTTAGTGATGAAACGGTCCGGCAGATATCACGGGACATGATCACACTTAATATCCAAAGGCCCAAGGAGGAGGAATCTCAATCGCAAGACAATGCGTATCCTGGACCTGATGTCGGTGCCAAAACAGAGGCCAGGTCCCAATTTGGGGCAAGGTACGGGCGAGGCTTCATGCTATCGCCCAAGTCTTCTGATACACCCAAATCTCCTGGATCTTATTCGGGAAAGTAAACTGACTTTTGCGGACGAGGTTATGGGGGCAGGCCGTGGCCAGCCACATCATTGTCGATTTGGACCACGCAAGGGACTATCTCTTCTTGACAGGCGGTTGTTGGTTAGGCAGCCATGCAGCGTTACTGTTCATGGCGGCGTGCCTGTATACGTGCGTCCAGTTGTTCAATCTGCTGATACGTCTTGCTCCCTGTGCCCAGAGTGTTGCCGCTCGTTTGGGGTTCCTTTGTAGTATTAAGCTACCATCCTAAGCTGGTGTCAGAACAGCGGTTCTGCGGCTCGTCCGAATGAGGAAGGTGGCAACGATAGTGGGCACACAGAAGAGGTCAATTGGAGCTATAGGCACGGCTGTGTGTAAAGGCGATGTGTGTGATGCCCCCTTCCGGCTAGGAATGCCCTTTGGGCCCGCAGAAATCTCAGCTGAATGCCCCACGTGACCTGGCAGGTGACCCATGCCGCCCTTCCTGCTGCGCCGTTCCAACAGCTGGCCATCTGTCACGGGCTGTGACCGGCATGGTCGACTAGGAAGCGTTCAAGCCACCAATGAACGGTCGACCCGTCAACAGAGGCTACTGAATACGCACTCGTCGACTGTGGATGTGACTGTTACGCCGTGATCACGTGGCATCTTCCCAATGACAGATTCGTGCTCGATATATATTCTTCGTGTAGCCGAAGAGTACTCGGACCCACCCTCGGCGCCTGCTTAGCGAGGGCGACCGGGCCTACCATGCCCCACCCATCGCCTGTTACACCCCTTCACCGGTACCGCAAAAGGTGCCTTGACCATACAAACTATATCAATTGAATTGAAGCTATTAGCCCATAATAAATTATAAAAGAAATACTACTCTGTAGTGCTTTCAATGTTTAATTGCCGTGGACTGTTGGGTTTCTGGTCTGTCTCCGCCCATGTGTAAGAAGGCGACGAATCAGGTGGCTTTACCCTCTTCCCCTCCTCCTCTTCAACCTGACCAAATGCACCTTCAATCGCATATAGCACCACTTCATCGCCCTGTGGAAGCATATAGACATTCCTAATATATATCGGAGGTTTATGAACATATTATTAGGATTGGGGATCATTCTTTCCTTCCTTGGCCTCATGCGATGCAGCGTAGCCGCCGAGGCCTGAAATCTCTGATCCTTCAACACCAACTCTGCTCCTTGCGCTCAAACACTCTAGATATCTTTCTCAAAGTCTTCTCGAGGCTACTAGCTTCGAGATTTTTTAGCCTGTGGAGTTGTCGGCTCGTGCTCCCTCGTAGGTCTAGCTTGGCGTATAGCATCCAAAACCATATTTCTCTGTCTGGTTAGACCCAGTGAAAATGACGCGTGACCTTGAAGCCACGGTAGTTGAGATCTAATGTTAAGATCTCCAGCACTATACCGCCGTCGATATCTTTACTGATGATATTTATCCCCTTTTGGTCCGACATCGAGCACAAGATGCCGTCACCGGCGGTAGAGTCGCTCATACTGTCGCTCATACTGCCGTTCATGGTGCCGCGCAGGATTCCGTACGCAAGGAGGATAAACGACAGGGTAATTACGAGCTCAATAAGCCACAGCAGTTGGGTGACAATGATACTGACGACGATACACGAGACCGGCTGGCCGATCCGGAGCATGCTCTGGGTGCGGAGTGACCTCGAGGCGGAGCAAGCGGTAACGCAGTCAGCGGATTTGACGGCGGTAATCCTTCGGCTACCGGACCGAGATCTGATGGTAGTGTCGGTATACGTAGAGTAGAAGAGCGAGGTGCTATCGAGAGCGGTAAGAGAACTGCATGGATTAGTGGTGGGCTTCCGTGGTGGAACTGGACGTCGTCGCGGGGGACTTTAATCGCCACGATCTGCTCTGGGGAGGCGATGAGGTAGCAACAAGAAGACAAGGGGAAGCGCAGCCGATCATCGACCTGATGAATGACTGTGGGCTCTGCAGCCTGCCGCGAGGCACCAAGACGTGGCAGGGCCAAGACTCGGAAAGCACGATTGATCTAGTGCTTGCGTCGGCCGAACCGAACCGGCAGACGAGATGGTGACATGCAATATACACCCCATGGAGCACGGATCGGACCATACAGTTCTTGATGAGGGTGACGAACCGTATGTTCACGGAGCGTCCCCTGTCGCAGGTCGAGGTCGTCGCTCATCTTCTAGGATATCCAGCCGAATTTTCCAATGGCAGCGCCTAGGCGTACCTAAACACATACCGGTACTAGCTGTACTGGCACGTCTTTCGACGATTGCGGCATCTGCGACAAGTAGCGCATGGGTCACAGATGATCCCCTGGATGAGTCGGTCGTCGTCGAAGAAGCAGGCCCCAGGATCTCCCGCGTCGAGGCATATCAGCACCGTGGAGATCTCCTGCGAGGCCTATGCCTGTACGACTACGTATCGCTGGTCAGACTCAAACGCAACAGCAACGACGGGAGCTGTGGGGCTAGGGGGGAGGTGCCTTTCGATGATGGGCGGGCACCAGGAAGACGCTGGGTTCAGGTGCTCAGGCGGCCGGGAAAGCAGGCCACCGTTTGCCTTGACGGCTACCTGAGTAAGACTTTGCCCACGACGAGGACTCGTGTCATCGGAGGTTTGCGCGGAAACCGATTCGCCGGAGGATATGGGAGACGCTAATTTTTTTCCACCTTTGAAAGGGCAACCGTGCAGCACTTTGTGCTATTTGTACCATGGGAGTCTTTCATGTGCGAAGAAATGGGCGACATCAACAGCATCTGGGCGCGGGCGCGAGACGCTGGCTCCGAGAATATCATGTCTCGACGACATCGTGCCGATATCGTGCGGCTGGTTCGACGATCAGCCGAAGACGCAAAACGCGACGCTAAGCAATGGGCATCCTCATCCGGAGATGCCTATCCGACGGTCGCACACGTGGAAGGGCGGGACGGACGAGGCGGGCGCAGAATCAACAGCGACGTATCAGTCCAAACAGCATCGGAAACGCAACGCAGCTGATCGACGTCGTCCGAGGTGCACTGGACTCGAATCAGGTGACGGCCAAGTCGCCGGAGCAATGGCGATGATGCAACAGCTCTATCGGTTCCATCGATCAGCGCTTTCCTCGACGGCCGAGCTGCAGGCCGCCGTGGTACAGTACCCGAACAAGGGGCGAGACGGATAAGCATGTAGGGGCGGGTATTTTCCGGGGTCGCACTGCCACCGTAGGATCAGGTCAGGGCCACCAAGTCGCAGCAGATGAGTGCCTCGAAAGAGAGGGAGAGGATGATCCAAGGCATACAAAGTATAACCGTGGTCCGAGAAAGCGACTGCCGTGCTGCGTTGCGGAGGGTCATGGTCGGCTTAGCTGGCTTCGAGGAGGTCGATGTCGAAATGGCGTTGGCCGACTTCGACGAGACCGCAGACGACGTAGAGGCGGGAATGCAGGCTTGGCGGGCAGAGAGTTGGCAACACGGCCGACGCTGAACAAAACGCAGTCGATCGCTTTCCCAATCATATGCTGCCAGCTCGATTTGATGCGACAAAACGACGGAGGCGAAGTCGGCCAACTCTGCCAGTTCGTCGGTGGCGAGGGCAGGACTGGCAAGTCGCGAATCATCGAGGCATTCGTCGAGTTGTTCAGTAGGAGGAGCCTTTCGAATCGCCTGCTGATCACGGCGACATCAGGACTGCCGCAGCGCTCATCAACAGTATCACGATCCACTTCCACCTGCGGGTTCTCCAAAGACTAAGGGGCGGCCGCGAACACGGCCAGAGATCTTGTCGAGGTGTGACTGCCAACCAAGCGGACCGGCTCGTCCATGGCCAGTCTCGGATGGATTGGCGGGAGAAAGACGCACTGGTCATACCATGCGCCATCTTCGTCAGAACATATTTCCATGTTATACCGGGACGCTGATCTATGAGCGGAGAATTGTTGCAACGCCGTGGTAGAGTGATGGTGAAGTCAAGAGGTTGGCGGAGGACTGGCATGACTAGATCACCAACTGTTGTAGAGGCGAGTGGCGGGGAACGGGTTGGTCGAGGAAACTCGGGGTGTCGCTCCTAGACCCTTCCGCTGCTGCCTGGTGCTCGGCGCCAGCTCACTTTCTGGCTGCAGTGAAGTCGATTTTGCTTACCAAGAAGGGGTTGCAGTCCTTACAGCTCAGTACTACCAAGCAGCCAGAAGCTAGGATGCTGTCAATCGCCCAAGACGAGGACTTGCTGCACTGTTGTGAAGCCAGAATCGGCCGCAGGTAAGGTAACGGGAATCCAGGCACCCATGATGAGCGGAAGGGTCTAGGAGCGACACCCCGCGTTTTCTGTACCCAGCCTTCTCCGAACTTCTCTTTGCGACAGCTGGTAATTTTGTCCTACAGTACCAATCATCCGCCAACCACTCACTTGAGTTCACCATTATTCCGCCATAGGATAGAGCCGCTACTAGATGTCCAAGGCACATGTTCAAAGGCTCATACCGGCGGCACAATCACAACCGCGGCCAGCCAAGTCCCTGCGAGCAGAGTCCCCCTGCCTGGCCGACCCCTGCCAGAAGTATCGCTTCCCAGAAAATGAGGCAATGACAACGACAATAACGACGACTTCGAAAGCGGTGTCGATACTCAGGCTGACAACCCGAGGGCACGACCCCATCTAAGCTTGAAAGCTCTCACAGGACGACAGCCTCGCACAAACCAGCAAGCGTCAGGCAGTTGTATTCACCGGCGAACGACGATGACACCTCGCGCGAGCCCAGCTGCGTTTCCACTACAAGCGGAGACATGGGAGGCGTTACAATGACTGCCTGGCGGGGCTATAGAGCTTTCAACCGATCAGCGGGAGCAATATTTGCCTTTACAAGTCCATTATACGTGCTATCTCGCACTGAATGATCGCCTCTTCATTACGCCTGTTGGCCCTAACGGGGCAAGTATCTCTCGATACTGGCATGGGTGCAGAGGAGCACGCAGGCCATTGGACCATAGACCGGCCGCCACGTCTGGGAAACGACTTCATCCACTGATCCATCATCAGTCAGATTGATACCGCTTCACAAAGCCGCAGACGCTTCTGATTGGAGCACATTGTCACCTCATCGTACATCTCTCGGCCCGGAGGCTTGCTAGGCGGAGCCTACGGCGGTATGGCGGCGAGCCAGTCGTGGACAGCAGTCAGTGCGGCGGGTGGAGGGCTGCCAGCTCAAAGGTCTGCTCGGCGATGAATTGCGACGTGACGGCGCGGTCTAGAGCTAGCCTCTAGATGGTAGCCAGATACGCCGGACGGAGAATGGCTTGGGCTTCTGGATTTGCGTCTCGTATCACACCGTTTCCGGGCTGCCCACAGCGACTCGCATACCCGCAGGAGAACGAAAATAGGCGGAGGTGCCCCTAACCACATACATGGCGAAGTTCCATTGCGCCGACATCACAGGAACGACATCCGTGTAGGAGAAGATCACGAGATGTCCTTAGGCGAGGTTTGCCTATAAAGACCATACATTCCGACTCCATGTGTCTTCGTCTCCTCATCCTACCTCTACACTATCCTCGTCACGTATTTCCATCCTTCTCCACTCTCCCCGTCCACAGCGCCATGGCAAGTAAAGAAGCAAATAGCGACAAACTCACCGGCTGGTCAGCCTGGGGCGGAGGGTCAATCCGGGCCGAAATATATTCGCGAATACAATGTCGACGACTCCAGTTGTGATCCCGTTTTCGAAGGTCACATCGAATTGGAAGAACTTACCTATGTGAACGAGGCACTTAAATCCTGCCACATGCCAGCAGACAGTGGAATCGATCATGTCGGCTGTAATGAAACTGCCGCTGCGAGCACTACTTGCACATGTGGCAGCCTCTTTGCTGTGACGGACCGCAAGATCAGAGACCTTTGCTACAACGAGCACTGCGAAATTCGAAATCAGCTGGCCGACATCAGCTCTCGTCTCGGCGCCTTAGAAGCTCAACTTGCCAATACCAAACCCGTCTGTCAGAGTGCCACAGCACCAAGGATCGCAAACGGCATGCCAAACAGGATCCGCAGCAGCAGCGAGACCAGCCACCTCATGGGCCCGCAGAGCAGGCGCTGGATGACGAACCACGCGCGCGTCGCCGAAGCGGTGGAAGGCATCGGAAGACTTGCCCAGAGGGGCGAGCGGAGCCGCGAAAACAGTGAACAAAGTCAAGCTCTCACGGGTCTGGCTCGAAATAACCAAGGAGTGCCCGCCATGAGTATACGTTGAAAGGCCCAAGAGAGCATGGTGGAGGGCCGGAGGGCTCTGGAGGTCTGAAACAATCGGGGCCGATACCACGCTGGAAGGAGTACATTTTGCGCTGATGACGGACGTTCTTTTTCTTGAAGTCGAGATTAACGGCGGCAGCCACTTTCCATAACGCTGCAATGGAATGACGAAACCGAAACCTTCGAGGGGCAGGATATGCTGAGGAAATGAATCTCCTCATCGGTTACGACGAGATGTTTGAGATGCTCTGCAACCCCTATCAGGCGTGTAGGGATTGGCGGGTTTGTCAAGTATGAGTACAACGGATCACAATAGTCTGCTAGAGCCTAGTCGTACTGTACGGTTTGCAACGAGACGCAGCATTTGTTGCAGATACGAGTGGGATACTACTTTCTGGAAATAGCGCTGGGGCAGAGATCAAGTGACAATATACATGCGCCGGTTGCCGTGAAGCCGTTTTGGGTTGGCACAGGATGCCAAGGAGGTCGCATTCGAGCGTCCAGCCGTGAACATGTTTTGCCGTTCATGGCTATTGCGTTGCGAGGTCAGTAGTCCCACCCTAACCTTCGAACTAGAGGTGCCGAATCCAGTCACGACAAATAACTTGGCAAGGCAGAATGGGTACTTATGTCGCAAGGGCTGTCAGCCGCAGCGACGAGATTCACGACGTCGTCATTAGACGGAGCAACCCACCCGCATGCTACAAGTCTGAGTTCGCCTCGAGGGCCATAGATTCAGTGGAAATGGAGCAGGGAGGACATCGTTTATAAGTTGGATTACGACTCCCTCCGCTCATCCCAGAGCTTGTGCTAAGACTCATTCCGTCATACATTCGCCATCCTCTGGTTGAACAGCCCTGGACTACAAATATTCAGCCAATATGCCATTTCCGTTGCATCTCTTATGTGAACTCCTCAGTGAACTCGAAAGAAATCACACGAGGTCTTTCAGTATTCAGAAGACCCAGGACTTCGATGTGCGCAGTCTTGTTGGCTGGTTCGACAAACATGATACAGCCATCCCACGTCTAGGGTCAGAAGCCGTGGCATTCTTGTCATGCCTCTTTCCCGAACGCAGGCCGGACCGAGTTTTCGGCTTGTCAAAAATTCAGCTCGAAAGGATTGTCCAACAAGCACAATGTCTTGGATCGTCCCGAATGAAGGAGCTACAGATATGGCAAACCAGGAACGGCCCGGACTTCGCAACTTGTGTTGAGCGCGTTATGGCTATAACGGACTGCGAACCAAGGATGGGTCCGAAAGTGACTCTGCAAGAACTTGACGATGTGCTCGATCGGATTGCAGCCTTCTCACCTTTCTCGTCCGCTGATCTGCGAGAAGAAACTGAGCGGAAATACCGTCAACCCTGCAGCAGCTCGGACGATCTGCTCATCAGTTTGTTCCGAAGATTGAACAGCTTTGAGGCCAAATGGCTGGTTCGCATGCTATCCAAAACTACAATCCGGCCTCTGTCCCAGAAAGACTGGCGATGGGCAGATTTCATCCGTTTTGTGGAATCTCCTCCGTTTTCAGAATTCAATCCAAGTTGCCGTAAGTATCCTAGGGGGACTTGAGATCCGGAATACACCCCTACAGGCCGTGGTAAATCCCTGGGAAGAGTTGAGGAAAGTCCTACAGCCGCAGGTTGGAGTCATGATTGAACGGCCAGCTTATGCGAAAGCAAGGAGCATCAAGCATTGCTGCCACTTGGCTGGCTCAAGACTAATGAGCGTGGAGCGGAAATACGATGGAGAATACTGTCAACTTCATGTTGACTTAAGCAAACCCGGAGCCTGCATCAAAATATTCTCCAAGAGTGGGAGGGACTCTACCATCGACCGCATTGGCCTTCATCGCGCGTTACGAGAAAGCCTCGACCTTGGCACGGCAGGCTGCAGGATCAAGAAACAATGCATACTGGAGGGCGAGCTGCTGGTATGGAACGACGACAGTAGGGTAATCGAGCCCTTCCACAAAATTCGTAAACACGTCAGACGATCAGGACGGCTCCTTGGAGCGGCCTAAGACCCCCCATTCAATATGAATGAACATCTCATGATTATGTTCTACGATCTTCTGTTGCTGGACGACACGGTCTGCGCTAGAAAAAGCCATGCTAAGCGGCGACGACTACTTCGGTCTCTGGTTCGCCGGATCCCTGGTCTTGCCGAGGTCGGGTTCCGCGAAGTGGTTGCATTCTCCTCAGCCAATGCTGCTGAGCGGCTCACTGAACTATTCGCACGAGCCATTACACAACGGTGGGAGGGACTGGTGCTGAAAGGTTGCAACGACCCTTACTTCACCTCCGATTGCGACAAGTCATCCATCAAACTCAAGAAAGACTACATTCCAGGCCTCGGTGACTCTGCCGACTTCACTATTGTCGGTGGCAACCATAGCGCGGAGGACGAACAAGAGATTGGAATTGGCAAGCTCTGGTGGACGTCGTTTTTTATCGGATGCATGGAAAATAAAGATGAGGTCTGCCGTTATAATTCTAAGCCAAGACTTCGCATCATCGACATCATCGACAAACATGGCATCCCGAAAGACCATATGCAATATCTCAACCGACATGGATATTTCACACAAATACCCTTCATTGAGTCCACGCCAAATTTTGACGTGGTCTTGGACCCGACCGTGGACTACGCCCAAAGGCGTTATTTCAGCATCCATTTATAGTAGAACTCGTGGGATCTGGCTTCGACAAGCCCGCAAATGCACGGTACTATACTCTACGGTTTCCACGAGTGTTGAAGATACATGGCGATCGCTCGTTCACTGCTACCACTAGCTTCGACGAACTGCAGGGAATGGCTCAAAAATGCTCAGAGATACCTGACAATTGCGAAGGGGAAGAAAATTCTTGGCTAAGGAGGTTGCGAGGTCACAGGCACTGGCTTGGGTCATCAAGCCTTGGGACATCAAGGCGATCTCCTAGCGTCGATTCAGTTTCTTTGGACATTCAAGCCACCAGCCCAGATCAGAGGCAACAGGAAAACGGGGAAGCGGTTGAGCTCCGAGCCCTGATAATATTTCCGTCGATTCATCGAAGAGAAGGGTGGATTCGGACAGTGCATGGCATAGTACAGTCAAACGCGTAAAACAGGACTAGAAAATATGTGTATGCATATTGAAGACTTACGCAATGGGTGGGTAATTATCAAGATTCGGCGTTTGGCAAGAGAGCAAAAGCACTGTGGCTGCCTTGTCCAACGGCGTTCGAACCCAGTGAGGCGATTGCCTTGCTACTTGTACTGAAGCGCGCCCGCAAAGACCCCGGCCGATGCGAGAACCCGTAAAGTTACAACAAGACTCTGTCGAGTCTACTCTGCATCACCATAACTCGGTAAGATATCCTCGAAGCATCTTCTCTATGGATGAGGCCATTCGACGGTTGGAGCTCATCTCTGCCAGCAATTGGCTCGCGTGGGCCATTATGGGCACTTTGGCGGCAGTCGGGGAGGACACGTCTTGATAGGTGCTAAACCCGTCCACGCTTGAAACATCCGAGATGGTCGCCAAGGACAACTTTCTTGGTTGGAAAGGTTGCGAGCCAGCCAAGGCCACAGAGTTGCATGTTGACTCAATTGTAAGCCATGCAAGGGCAGAGGCACAAACAAAATAGGGGACGAATGGGGAGACGCGTCTAAGGGTGAAGAGCCTGCTGTAGGACTGCGACAGGGTGAGGATAGAGTCCGCAGCCTGGAGACAGATTTCGCGGGGTCGGACGTCGGAATCAGCCAGGACAAGGTTGGCGAGAGGGCGGAACAGGCAGAGTAGGCAGAACTGATAGTACATGCTACATGCGGGCAGTCAGCCGGATGATGCTGTCTCTTCTCCCCTCTGTGTCTCTCGGCCCTCCCGAGTCCTGTGAGCCGGGTTCTTGTGTCTGTGTACATACTGGATAAAGAGTACAAAGGGGTGTCACTGCCGCCGGTTTTGGGTAGGAGAAGAATCCTTCGTACCAATCGAGACACTCGGTATACACTGCCATGACCTCGGCTGTGTCGAATCGTCCGTTTGGGGTATGGGTTGCTGATGAGAGGAGCTTGTACACCCATTCCGTGAGCTGGAAGACTCTTGCTGGAATGAGCTGTAGATTGCGCAGTTGCGAGCTGCGTGCTTTTAGGGTAGGGTCTGCAGCCGTGTTACGGTGCGACTCCTGATTGGATACAATTCCTGGGTATACCTAACTTGATGCATTCACCTGGTGTAGTTCCGCTGCCGCACTGGCCGCCAAACAGGTACTCGGCACTGCAGGCGGATTGGTCTAGAAATATTGAGTCGTCTTGTAGCTTGCAACTCGTAGACATGGTGAAGACTTGGCCCGTCGTGAGACGAAGTATGCTGTGTGCGGAATCCCATCAGTTTATGCTTCGGAGGAGTCGGGAACAGGGGCTGCAAGCGGTTTACAGACCGAATCAGGGACACGGCGCCGCGGTACGAAGTAGCCCAAACTTTGGCATATTTCTCGGCCTCGGAGCCCATCAGGGGCTCTTGAGGACAAAGATTGACTATCCTAGCGGCAAAGGAGTCGGCAAGCGCTTGAGCTTCGGCCTCGCGCCCGCAGGTAATCTGGTAGAGCGAGAGAATCCCGATGGCCTGTATATCTGGGAGGTTGGCCGAGGGCCGGTTCTGCGGATAATGGCCTCGGCCTTGTCGAAAGTGGTTTGCTTCCGCACTTGAAGCCAGGCCCCGGGCTCTCCGCTTCGTCGCTGATCTCGTGGACCACCCGGGTTGCCAGCGCGATGAGCGCGTTTACCAGGGCAGAGGAGCAGTACCGCTCGAGCCGCTGCAATAGTCTCGGAAGAAGGGGTCCTTGCACATGAGGCAGAAGGGGAGGTAGTCCCAGGTGAGGAGGGCGTCGAGGATCTGCCGAACCGAAGCCACCGTACACCCGGCGCACGTCCACCTGTCGGTTTGCGCGTGTGATGCATCGTCAAAGGGCAATGACGGGAAACAGGAGCCGCCAGGGCCGGTGTCGAAGTCGCCTTGGGAGCCTCGGTCAGTGTGCTGAGGTCGCTCGAGCCCGAGGCAGAACGGTGCATGGTGGGCGACGGCAGTCGGCTCAGGCAGTGCGGGCAGACGGCTTCGTCGAGAATGGAGCTGGAAGAGCCCGCCGATGATTCCTGTTCACCTCCATCTGACGAGCCACGCCCGTTTTCACCGTTCAGGTGCGCCAGCTCCTGCAGAATGGCTTGGTGAGACTTGGTCCCCTCGACCAAGTCTTGTATAAAGGCATTGCTGACTTCGACGTCGTTGATTGAACATATTGCGCGGAGTAGTCGGTCATGCTCCTCGTTGTACCGCCGTAGACTATCGATCTCGGCCCGTAGATCGTCTTTGGACTTGCGTCGCGGGTGGTCGTATACGCGTCCTTCTCCGGCCTCGTCGCATCTTTTGCACGGTGCCTGGCCATCATCACACTAGAGCGAGAAACCAATCAGTGAAAGTATCCAGCTAGGCAGGATATGGGATGAGACAGACGACTGGGGGCTCTTTGGGCTTTGGCTTCGGGTGGGCTATCGACTGACCTTTGCTCGTTTCTTGCGGCACCTCTGACAAGCCATTCGTATCAGCATTCGACGGGGCATTGTCTTTGCTGCCAAGTGCAGTAGGGGCCCGTGGAAAGGAACCGCCTCCTTATGTAAGGTACGCCTATCGTGCCCGGGGCCAGTCGAGTCAGACCCTGAGGTATCAAGACAACATGGCTTAGGCGTCACGGCGAGATGGTGGTCAGGGCCGCGATCGCCACGTGCTGTCCATGGCAAGGTTTAACGTGCCGGCCCCGAGGCATGTTTGTGCATACGTACATGCATATATATCTTGTTTTATGTATGTATATATGTATGTACATATGGTTGCCCTGGTCTGCATGAGCTCAGGTAGAGGAACAAGGTTTGGTGTTTGGGTCACTACAGCACCGACGTGCTGCAACACAACATCGCAGACGTCATGCCGACCTCGATGGCGCGCAGGTGGGTCGCTTTCTGTCACGTCGCGCCACATTTTGTCTTGCCTTGTCTCGTCTTTGTCCCCGTCATGTCGTGGCGGCCCAAACTAATTGGCAGGGGTAGTTCGAGCACGATCTCACTGCAGCCGATCATTAGCCCAAGGGCGGGGTCTTTAGACCCCACTTGTAAGCTTACCCCTGACTCGTATTGTGTGACACACCGCCACTAGCTCGAGGCAACCCCAGGTACGGATACTCAGGATACTTTATGTATCTAGTCTTCTCTAGCCTAGCACGTCTTTTTGCTTTTGGAGATGTCCCAAACGGTAATCAATACTACTAAGTTACTAGTTATAGTAATTAAATCTCGCGATAACCTCACTTTCTGGATGCCAATTGCCTTTGCCTTATGTTACGAAAAGTTGGAGCTACTGTCTAATGATTCAGATGACACTAAGTATCTGGCTTCGCGACACCTCTATGTTATGTCAGACATGTTTGTCGATAGTGTAAGTGCGCCTCACCAATCGTGACTTACGACAGCGCCATTTCCAGAGGAAACGCGCATAGCTAAGTTACCGCTAGGTGTGAGGCGCCCTTGCTAATACGGCTAGACACATGGAAGATAAATATCGCGCATAGAACGATTAAGGGGTCCTGGTTTAGGGCCATGCATAGGTGATGATTCGTTCAAGAAGGGTGCCCTGCAAATGGAGATCGTTGGTCAGCAGCGTCCTGCATCTTTTGCTGCAGGTCATCAATCCTACCACCTGTTCTCGGATGGCTGCCGCCACGCCCAGAAAGGATTAGTTAACCATGAAATTGCACTGCCGGCCGAATCGCGCTTCTGCTTCACCCGACATTCTCGAGATGGTTGCAATATGTACACAGCAATGACCTGACGTCTTCGTTCTACGAGCTGCTATGCCGCAGCCACAGTGTGCTTCCACCTCTCTTAGCACTTTTTCTGCCAGATTTTTGCGTTGTACCAGGCATTACGCCCTCTTCTTGAGATGGCTGCGTTTAGAGGCATATGGAGAAACCCGAAGGTGGGCGTAGTGGAGGGTCTCGTGGCAGCAGCTCGGTTGGAGCGCGATGAAGCGGGATAGTGCAGAAGTACTTTAAAGTAGAGCTAGAGAAGAGGAGTGAAGGCGAGGGTGGGAGATGTGGGGTCTCGAGACGTATGCGAGAGAATGGTCAGGGGCCACAACTTGCGTCACCAAACCGCGTCCTTTTTGGGCGCATTTCAGCGACACTACTTCCAGGTACATGGGCACGAACCGCGATGATGACGTTCGAGGTGCGGCAGGGGCTATTACCTACCCCAACCTCCAGAATTGCCGTTTTTGGGGGCTCCAACACTGTCTGTTGATCTGAACCGTGCTTGTGAACTACCCCCAGAAGAAGTTAAAGACTTTTTTCGTTTCTTCTGCGACATAGGTTTTCCCGGCTCCCCGCCCGCCGAGCCAAGAATATAGCGTCTAGATTGGGCAAAAGCAGGCTCAGGTAAGTCTGGTGGGCAACGGTCGTGGACATGCGCGAGTAGTTCATACTCCTGTGGAGCTAATGAGCGCCGAAGTGCTCCTTTATTGTCCTGACTGGCTTACTATGTAACATAGTGTACACTACGGTATTATTTCCGTTTGAGCTGGTCTTTTACCAGGAGGAGGCAGAATTCAGCCGGGCAGGGAGGGGCTTTTGCACAAACTTCATGCATGTTTCGAGAGACGGCGCACGTCTGGATGGCGTCATCTTGTCCTCTTAGTAGAAGCGATTTTGACCAATGAGAACTGGAGCTTAGAACATCAATAACTCTGGGCTGCGCGTATGATTGGTCAAGTGACGCCAAGCTGCATCAGAGGCTGTGCACCTGATGGCCGTTAGGACCTGCGGGACGGAACAGAGTGAGTCAGTCAGTCACAGATCGGAAGAGACAGGGTCACACAACAAGGGCACGGTTGGTGTGGATGACTGAACAACGATCGGGAAGAAGATCCCTGTGTATCGGGCAACGAAAGACTCTTGATTCTCTATCTAAGTGATGGTGAAAAGTTGGCTTCTTATACTTGGAATTTTGGGCTGAGTGGCGATGTCGCCACCTAGGCAGCATGTAACGGGCTAGGCCCTGCTGGACAAGGCAGTGCCTTGTCGGTCTAAGCACTGTTGCTCCAGTAACGGCTTAGTCTATTTTGTTGGAGGATTTCTGTCCTTCTATTTTCCTTTCCTTCTTCTTTCCTCAGCTCGAATGTAAAACGCACGAGGACTACATAGCTGTAATTTACACTATTAGAACCCATCACACAGCATAGATGACGATGTCACCTAGAAGGTTCGAATCCATCACTAATATGGCATTACGAACTGCTTGCTGCCTTTAGGCAGCACCGTGAATGAGCGTCTTGATCTTGACAGGGCGGTAGAAACCTTTCGCCAGAACGCAATTACGGTACGGTCAAAGCCTTGAGATGTACCTACGGCAAGCAACTGCCAACTGGTAAGTTAATTTTCTCCTCGATGCGTGATACTGTAATTTCGCATCTCGAATTTTTGTTATTTTAAGAGTTCAAAGAGCATGAGAGGAGTATCTGCAGATTATGGAAGGGCCGGAAAAATTACACGATATGTATTTCGCGCAGCATCGAAGACTGTGAAGCGTAGACTGGTACACCAGATTCGTAAATACGCTACAACTTGGCGACGCGTGTAAGCCAGGATATCACAAGTATTGCGGCAGCGAAAAATGCAGCGGCTGTACAATGTTCGTTCAACCGCTTGGCAGTGGCTTATTCGATGCTCCACACGCCGGGCAGGCAACCCAGGGCAGCTCAGGGCAGCTCAGGACAGGCTCAGGCGGCTCAGGCAGCTCAGGGCAGATCAGGGTAGCTCAGCCCCTGCTCAGGGTAGCTCAGTCCCTGCTCAGGTTCGGCACGTACTTACTCAAGGTGGATCAGGTGGTGCTAATGGAAATACAATAGAGTGTGAACTTTCAAGGGTAGACCATGATTGCTTTGTCGCGCGGCTGGAATAGATCTGAGGGCGTGTATCCTGAAGCTTCGGGAGGATTCTCGCGGCCAGCCCTTCATGGCAGACTGGTTGCTCGCTAGCTTGCTGGGAAAAAGTAAGATAGCTGCGTGCCTCCCCTAGGTAACTGTTAAAGGCACCACGATAGCCCAATTGACCTCCATCATGCCGTAAGAAGTAATGAGCAGGCAAACATTCGAGGAGCAAATTGACGTTTTCAAGAATGCTCGTTCCTTAGTTACGTTGTGTTCTAGTCACATTGACGATCGATGCACTTCCCGCGACTGAGAGCCGATACGATGCCGCCCACGTGGTTGTCCTTGACAATTGGTTTGTTGCAAAGGACGCTGGACGCTCGATCATGCACGCCTTTTATCTAGGTGTGGATTTTTAGGTGGCCCGACGGCCGTTCAAGCGAAAGACAGAATTAATGTTTAACGACGATTACGCCAATACACATTGGAAGAGGTAGGAGCCAAGTACACAAGTTGTTATGAAGATCTAGAAGGTGCGGCCCAACGGTCCTATTTATGCCGTTGGGTAACTTCCATGGGCACCAAATTAGCCATACACGTGAGGTCACTATAGGTCCTGATACATGGCCTTATAATGATCTTTCAGGTGGTCCTGATAACACCTAATAGCCTAACACTCCGACATTCCTCGTAAGAACGATTGGAACACTTCCACCGCAAAGTTCCTCTATCACCACCGCGCGAAAATGGGCGTCAACTAGAAGGCTGAAGCTCGAGGAACGTAAGTTCTCCTTGTCTCATACTAAAAGAAAGGATATTCTCCTGATTAGGAAGTCTGGTTGAGAACAAGGTGACTGCTTTAGCCACACACATAGATTTCGCGCGATGCAGGTTGACCGTGGAGATACCAAGCGATACATTCGATTTGCTACCTTGCAGACCAACAACTTCGATTGGTCAAAAGGCATAGCTTAGGACACTGTTCCGTGTATTCGTAGAGCATGGTTCCGCAGATGCTCCATATGGTCCAGTGGCAAATCGCAGATCGAACATCTAATCTCATCGCCCTCGCGTAAATTCGACAAGTGCTTGCGTCGGAAGTGCTTGGACAGGTCTCAGGAGTGTAAAACTCGCGAATGAGAACCTCCACGGCCCCATCATCTGATGTCAAATCAAGGGCCTTGCCGACACAGATGAAGCATCTTCGAGGCCTGTCCGTGACTGTCTTAATGAAGGTGGACATCAGAGCCGTGTGTTGAGGGCTGTTGATAGGCGGTTCGTTCATGAGAGTAGGCCTAGTTGAGTCGACCGACGCTCGAGCGCCGCGGATCGTCTGCCCTTCCTCGACCGTACAATAAGCTACGATGGCGGTGATAGCATTGTCTCTCCGTCGATATTGACCTTCGAGCGTGTTGCCAAGTGGAGCGGCGAGGGCCTCAACCAATCGCTTTTGAGCCGGTCGTTGAGGACAAATGGGAGTGTTCACAGTCGCTTGTTTGACAAACCCAATACCTTGCAATTGCCCCTCAATGTCGCCCACCGCCTGTCTGGCAGTCCATTCATCTCGAATCTTCTGCTTAAGCACCCTCTTCAATCTTTGCTTCTCGTTCCTCAGTCGACGGCGGAGTTCCATGTGCTTCTTTGAACCTGGGCGATGATGCCGAAGGTCTTGCTCTAGTCGCTTGATGATAGGATCAGTAGACACGGATGCTATTTGTTCAGCTGTGAGATCCGTGGGTCTCCGCTTGCTGATAGAGTGGCCGACGCTGCAGGCCTGCCTTATGAGCGCCTGCTGTGGTTTTGTCGCCGGAGAATACCCCAAGTATCCGCGCAAACCTCCCGTCCCAGGTAGTGCTTCTGAAAGGGATTCGAATTGGCGTGATCTAGAGCAAGATTTCGCAGCGACTCGCTGATATCGGCTGAAGCTGGAGTAAGCAACAAGGCTATCGTGATTGGAGGACTTGACGAACCACTTCGATCGAACTCATTGGCCGCATTATAACGCAAGTTGTAGGGGATGGTGGGGTATTCCAACCCCAATATTTCGCCAACCCTTCTGATCCATTGTGCAATCATCTGGTAAGAAAGAGGCTTGTCCTGGGATAGCTCATAGCCGGTAAAGGTTTTCATAGCCCGTCGGAATATATATGTGTCTTTTAGATCGTCCTTGAGCGGCAGAGGTAGCTCCCGCTCCTCAGGGTGGATATCAAGATTGGCAAGCTGTGCGGGTGAATTGAGACTTGTTGCTCGGAACGCGCGATGGCGGAAAAGAATGCCTAGCAGGAAGATGTGAGGATTGAGTAGCAAGGAAGGGTCGGCTAAGGTCTCTGGAAGAGGAAATGTTTTCCTAGATTCGCGTCAGCGCCATATCCTACGAGCAGATGAAGCACGGCGTTTCTGGCGTCCTTACGCATCTTTGACACCGAGGTACGTTTTCGTGAAGGCTAAGGTGAAGCGAATCAAAATATTATGCGGTCCACCTTCTGGGTCTTTCACCAGTGCGAGCCGGATGTCTCCAAACCGGAGACGCAGGATGGATGTGGGGCGAGCTCCAGCGGGTGCAAGAAGAAGGAGAAAGAGAACAGCAAGGATTCGAAGTTCCCCAAGCCTGAACGATTTTTTGTCGTGCTAATTGTCGTTTCGATTTGCTCCTTGAGATCTTCGATCGTCATGCATCGATTCGCTCGCCTCTGGTCGCTCAAGTCATGTTTTCTGGAGAGGTCTCGGAGAACCTGCAGGGTTACCTTTTGACCTATTATTCGGAGGGATCGGGCTGTACCTTGTGCATACGCCGATTTAGTTTCGGGTCGAGTTTGTCTCCAGTGGCTCTCTCGAAGACGAGTCGGAAGACTTTCCAGTATGTGCTCAAAGAGCTGCTCTTCCTCGTTCCTCGCCTTTTCCTGCCATCCTTACCGACCTTCTGGTTGAGGACCAGTCAAAAAGTTATACAAAAGCCGCAGGAGCTGGACTCGAGACAGACTCCAAACATTTTTGGGGTCACAACCCAGCACCTCGCAGTACCTGAGGTAGGACCATTACATGTTAGAGGCTGGGAGTCATAAGGGACATGATGTCGTTGGTGACGTACTGGCGCCATTGTGCGTCGCAGGCATCGAGGAGCAGTAGACTACCGTCGCTATAGTCTTGAGCTTCGTAGGCGGTCTCGTTGAATTTCTCAACGGCTTCCCGGTAGTACTCAGGTGGATGAACGTTGCCACCGAAGAGCTGGACTTGGTCTTCAACGTCAGCGTCGACGAATCCGTCTGCGTCATTGAAGTTCAAGTCCTCTACATCCGTTGCCTCCGCATACGTATCCGAGTGAAGGGCTCAACTTTGTCAAAGAGACCACCATCGTCAAATTCGTTCTGGGGAGTAAGACGCGTCCGAGTCGTAAGAGATGGCGGAATGGCGTGCTCGGCGCGTCATGGTTGACAATGGATCGTATAAGTCAGCGGGATGCGGCTTTCCGTGAGCTGGCAAGAGGAAAGAGTTTCCACAGTAATGCTTGGTTGTGTAATAGGTAAGATGCTACCAAAATTTGAGGCGGAGTAAGAGCTTCTTAAGTATGACCTATGCGACGCCACCGTTCTGAGCGCTTTGTGGCTCCTTCTTTTGAGGCTAGAAAGAGGTGTCGGAAAGGCACACAGCTTAAACGGGCCGCGGAGGCGTCCCGACGTGGCTCTGCGGGCTGAGCATGATGGGTGACATGCCAAGTACATCGGAGATACTTGGAGGGATGAGCCCGGCGATACATTTGTCCGTTCTCGCTCTGGATTCCTGGCAAATTGGCCGCCACCTTTGGTGGCAGAGACCGTCCAAACGGGTGGTAAATCCGCCGTCTCATAGTTTATTAGAGTATAAGATAATATACTTACTTTTTAATACCTTATAAGACTTAAAATAGTTTAATATACTTAGGTAAGAGTTTTCTTTTTTTATCCTTAAAGTATAAGCTCTTTATTAATAATACTATAAGGTCTCTTACTTTTAATATAAGCGGTTAATACCTTAAATTATTATATTTTACTTATAATTTAATAGCTTTTCCTTAGTATTCCTTAAGCCTCTTTTATAGCTCTTATAGCTTAGTAACTCTTACTTTTACTTTAGGTACCCCCCTTTAAATAATATTATCCTCGATATTAATATAAAAGTTTAGTTAGTAACCTATTAACGCTTCGTTAAGTAATAACCTAGTTATTACGTTCTTTTTATTATTATATATAAATTAAGTAATATATAATAGTAATACTAAGTTAGTTTATTTTAAGTTAATAAAGTATCTTAAGTAGTACTATATAGCTTAGTTTATTTATTTTATTTACTTATTAGCTTATAAGTAAAATACTATTAATAGCTTATATTTTACTTATAAGATAAAATAAAGATTTAATTAAAACTTACTCTTTAAAAAGTACTTATACCTTTATAACGTTTTCTATATTAGTTTTTTAAAGCTATAAAAAAAGTATAAAGGTACTTATAAAGATAGTGAAACCCTATTAATACTAAACTTAAAGGATAATAAAAGTAAATAGGAAGTCTAAGAGATTAAAGACTAAAAGGGATTTAAGGGTAATACTTCTTTCTTTATTAAATAAAAAAGATAGCTAGCTAAGTATAACTAATAAGTTAATATTAAAGATATAGTAAATAGCTAAGACCTTATTAAAGAATATACTACTTACTTAACTAGGAAAAAGAGGTATAAGACTTAGTAAAGTAAGGAAACCTATTAGCGTAGGGAGGCGCTATTAAATCGGTAATAAATTTCTATTATATTACTACTAACTTATTAATATATTAGTACGCTTAAACGTCTTATAAATATATATAAAATAGTAAAATAAGAGAATAAAGGAAAACTATTTATACTACTTATTAAATATTATTAAGGAAAATAAAACTAAAGTATAACTTTATTAAGACTATAATAATAAAAGAGAGAAAGATAGTTACAATTAAATAAAAAAAAGATAAGACCTATTTATTACTTTTAACTACCTTTTTTCTTTACTAATATAGTAAGAACTAACTAAGGCGCTCCTTTTACTATATTAAATACTTTTAGAAATACTAAAACTACCCTATCTTTTACTCCTTTCTTATTTTCTATATTAAGACCTATCTTTATTAATATAGTACTTACCTTAGCCTTAGTAAATAATAAGGTATATTACTAAGAAGTATAGCTTATATCGCTATTAATAAGGTAGTATTTTAACTAGGATTCCTAGGCTTAGTACTTTAAGCTTATATAAGTAATATTAAATAAAGGCGCGGGGTTAAGGTAAATAATAAGCTCGCGGCGCTTATTAATTAGTATATAGTAGTTAGTATACTTAACTTAGTATATTATTAAGCGGTTATTAATAAAAGGGTTAAATAAAACTTATAATAATAGACTTTTATATACTTATAATCTTAAAAGACTTATAATAAGCTATCTTAATAGCGTTAAAAGCCTTAGCTAAATACTATACTATAATAGTAAGATAGCGCTAATTACCTTCCTTAAAAATAAGTATACTTATATCTAAGCTATTATCCTTAGTATTCTTATTACTAGTCTTTAACTTATTAAGCTTATATAAGTACTTTATAATAGTAACTATATTAGCTTAGTTATTAAATATAAGAGTAGTAGCCCTAAAGAATATTAGCTTATTAATTATAATATTCAAAGTTAAGGGAAAACTTACTTAGTTATACGTCGCGGTATATTTATAGTACTACTTATAGCGCGTTAAGGAAACCCTTAAGAAAATATAGCTAATTAAGAGTACTTTAATAAGCTTAGGCTCGGTTATATTATACTTTTTAACAACCGTTTTAAAATAATATATATACTAAAGCTTATAAAAGATAACCCCTTAGGCCTTAACTAAGCGGGCTTTAGCCTTAAATTAAGTATACTTCTTTATATAAGCGCGACTACCTTATACCGCTACTTAAGTACCTTTATTTCTAGCGCTACTATTTTTAAGTTTATTAATAAACGGAGTTAAATTACGGCTATCTTTATTATTACTATTATTATTATCTTAGCCCTTATTTAGCTAAGTATTAGGATTATCTTAGCCCTTATTTAGCTAAGCCTTATTATTAATATTAGCTTACTTATTTTAAGGAGCGGCTTAAGCGATAATCTCTTATTAGCTAGAGCCGCTTTATTAAGATAAAGTAGCTAGGTTATTAGTACTTACCTAAGAGCGCCTAAGTATAGTCTTCTTACTAGTATTAATATCGCTAATAAAGGTAATAAACTTATAAGTTTCTTAGCTTATAAAGGTAAGCTTATTAATAGTTAAAGTTAAGGTATTTAGTAGGGTAATAGGTATATAACCTTCGCTAATATTAGGTCTTAAATAAAGAGTCTCTTAGGACTAAGATTCCCTTATACCTTTCTTAGCTTTCTTTACTAAGGGGGAACTAGCGTTATTATAAGACTTTTAGGCCGATCGCTTATACTTTAAAGGTAAACCCGCCGCTACCTACTCTTATATATAGTATAGGAATTTAGCGTTATAGTTCTTTATTTTCTTTAATATAAAAGGTATTATTATTAGTAAATTATTAATAAAAAGTAATATAAAAAGGTATAAAGGATTAATAAAAAAAGGTATAAAACTCTATAGTAATTATAAGTAAAAGAGTTAAAAAATAAAATAAATAAAAGAAGTAAGAGATATATATATACGCTCTTTATACTATAGTTACGCGGCTAATATATAAGCGATACTATAACGGCTACTTAGCGGTAACCGCTAGTATAAAAACTATTAATATTATAAAGTATAGACTAATATATACTTATATAAGTATATATATATAATATAATTAAAACTACCTTTCTTTTTAACTAAATATATATAGTATAGTAAAAGTAATATATATTAAAGATATAGCTAAGACGTTTATATAAAAAAGGAGATAATTATAAGAGTACTACTAAGAAGTATAGGCTAATAAAGCACTTAAGTATATAGTACTAATATATTAGTAAGGTATTAGTAAGTATTATAAGCTATACTTATAGAAGGCTAAGGTTATACTATAGTAACTATACTAAAGTCGGGCTAAAGTAAACCTATATATAAGTAGAGCTCGACCCTAACTTAAGCTAAATAGTACTTAAATATAGGTCGAGCTAGGGATTAAGGAAGATAGATAACTATCGCGACTAAGATAGAGTTTTCCTCCTTTCTCCTTAGCTTTAAATAAATAATTATTTAGCCCTATACTACTATACTAAGTATACGCTAGCCCTTAATATATCTAAAGCTCCTTTTAAATAAGGCTATAAAGCTTAGAGAGAGATCGGACTAAAAGGATATAATATAAATATCCTAATAACTTAAAGGAGGGAGAATAAGCCTAAGGATAGTAGGGAGTAGCGATAGGAGGGCTAGGCGCCTAGCTAATAATAAAGTAAGCGATACTCTCGCTATAGGTAAGAAAGGTAAAGATAAGGTATTAAGTAATATAGAGCTAACTATAGATATAGGAACTAATTAGCTAGATTAAGAGGATATATTAAAGGATAGATAAACTAATATAGATAGGTATATAAGAGGAGGCTAGGGGTAGGGTAGGTAGTTTAATACCGCCTTTAAGGGTAATAAGGGGGGCAGCGATACCTATAATTAAAGGGGAGGTAGTAAAGAAGAATAGCTATAGGAAGCCTCTCCTAAGCCTAGGAAACTTTAATAGATAATAACGGTACTATACCCTATAAGTATAATATATATAGGAGAAGTATAAGATTAATAAAGAATTCTTCTTAAGCTTAAGGGAAATCTTCTACTTTATTTTTAACTACTTAGACGCTAGGCTATAATAAACGGTCGCTATATATTATATAATAAAAGTAAAGAGGGGCTATAATTAAAAAGAATTCCTAAAGTACCTTAACTTAATCTACCTTAACGTAGATATCTAGTTACGCGCGGTAGCGGTAATCTAGATAATAAAATAAGGGGAAAGTTAAACGTTTATAGCGTTCTTTTTAAAGTTTAAGTAAAGACTCTTTAAAGCTAAAAGTAGATCCTAGCTATATAACGTTTAGATCGTCTTCCTAGAGGGGGCTCTAGGAATCCGGCTCTATAAGGTATTAGCTATAGTTAACCTCCTTATATTAAGCTTCGCTGCCTATATTAATTAGGTAGCGTAAATAGCGGCTAAGCTAGAGAGGGTCTAGTAAATAAGATAAACCCCCTTAAACTAAAGGAGACTAGTAGATATATACCCCTAAGAAAGGAAAGATAAAGAT